TTTTTTTTTTGCCTTCTTCTGGATCAACAGCAAAAAACAAATGTGAGGAAGGCTGAACTTGATGGACGCAAGTCTCTTTTCAGCTATGCAACTATGGTCTGCAGACCATGCAAAAAATTATTCAGCCAAATTTAAATTTTTTTCACTGTGCGCAAATCTAGTTCTCATCATACATTGTAACTTTTGTACACGTCAGTAGATCTCCAAGTTGTAGTGATTTTTAAAAAAAATTTTTTTAATGCTTATCCCTGATCTTCCAGACCAAGAGAGACATATAAATCTAGATCTCTATCCTGGCCAGTGTCTCCCTCTGATGTGGAAGAGAGCCCGGGAGACTCTGTCTGTTCCTCTGCCAGGTGCAGACTGAGAATATTCCTACTGATATCCCGTGTCATTCAGAGTATTGATAGTTGAAATGCTCTAATACCATATTGTGCTCGGGCACATGAGAAGAGTCACAAACACTCACACACACTCTCTGGTGGCCAACAAAGGGGTCAAACTCTGTAAAACATACATCATTTCATAGTGAAAGTCTGCACATACAAAGTCCACGCACTTGGTTATGAATTATTGATAATAAATATTGGAATTTCCAACTTTGGGCCAATATTACTTGATTTGGATAACTCCTTTATTTTTTTTTATACCTACAATTCTTGCTGGAATGACCCTGACCCTACAATGGGAGTTGTACAGCGCCATGGAATTTGCTGGCGCTATACAAATAATGATAGGATTATCCAGCCCCCCTGTCCTGCCTGTATCCCTCATGGTCACCTTCCAATATTGCCCACAGAAGTTAACCCCTTCAGGACCGCTAATGGTTCAGGACAGTCAGCGGTAAAACATGCGTTTGGACGGTCTTGAACCGTCATAGCGAAAAACGGTCTCCCGCCGGTATAACACTGTAACTATCTGCAAGACATCCCAGGCAGATAGTAACAGCCAATTGTGGCGTGTGAGCGATCCGCTCACAATTGGCTGCTGTCAAAGTGGGTGTTACAAACACTCACTTTGACAGTGATCTCTGCCCTTCTCTCCTCTGTAGCGTTTTGTGAGGGGAGAGAGACAGAGATTGTGATAGTTTGTTGCAGTGTTCAGTGACCATCAGAAAGTATCAGTATTTTATTTAAAAAAAAAAAAATCACCTTTTAACCCCTTCCCTGCCAGATCTGTTACAGCAGTGCATTTGTACTGGCTGCATTTTTTATTTTATTTTTGCCCTTAAAGGGTTAAATTTCTTTTAAAAATCTGTCTTGGTCAGTCAGTTTCCTTCCCCCAAATCTCCAATAGATTTTTGTGACAGGAGTTAGTTTAGGGATTGCTGTTTAGTCTGTTTTAGTAAAAAAAGTATATAAAAAATTTAGTTTGTAATTTGTTTTAGTTGTGTGTAAAACATGCCGCATATGTATAACTTGCAGGAGGCATTTGCCTTCTTGGCATCAGACTCTGACGCCACTGACACTGCGTCAGATTTTGACCCAGGTCAGTTTTCTGACACGTCTAGTCAAGACGACATGTCATCTGTGTGTGAGCCGGCTGAAGAAAGAAGCTGTGCTTCCTCTGCTACGCCGAATGTGGAGGAGGACTGGGTACCTCCACAGTTAGCCGAGTCCAACGTCCCCCTTTTTAGTGCCAACGCAGGCATTAATGTTAATGTGGATGGCTTCTCCCCAATGCAGTATGTAGAACTATTTTTAGGGGATACCATCTGGGAGGAGATTGCTTCCCAGACTAACTTATATGCTACCCAATTTATTAATAACAATCCAGGTAGCTATACAGTCAGGGAGCATGACTGGCATCCCACAGATGTCCCAGAGCTTAAAAAATTCTGGGCTCTTACAATGCTCATGGGGATTATAAAAAAGCTATCGATTCGCTCATACTGGAGCACCAACCCCATAATGTCTAGTCCAGTATTCTCCCAAACCATGCCTAGAGCCAGTTACTGCTGAGATTTTTACATTTCAGTGACAATACTCTCTTTCACCCTAGAGATCACCCCCAATACGATAGGCTTCATAAAATACGCCCACTGCTAGACCATTTTCAGGACAAATTTTCGGATGTTTATACCCCCCAACAAAATTTATCCATAGAAATAAATTTGTAGGTATACAAAGGGAGATTAGGGTTCAGACAATACATCCCCTCAAAGCGGTCTAGGTATGGCATAAAACTGTACAAACTGTGCGAGAGCGTAAGTGGATACACGTTTGCCTTTCGTGTATATGAGGGGAAAGGTGGTCAACTGAACCCTCCTGGCTGTCCTGACTCCCTGGGGACAAGTGGGAAACTTGTATGGAACCTACTAAGCCCATTGTTTAATAAAGGTTACCACCTTTATGTGGATAATTTTTATAGTAGTGTCCGTCTGTTTAAAACACTTTATGGTTTACAGACACTGGCCTGCGGCACTGCCAGAAAAAATTCCAAAGACTTTCCACGATCTCTCATAGAGGCAAAATTAAAAAAAGCAAATGTAGAGCACTTCGCAAAGCTGAAGTGCTTGCACTAAAATTTAGGGACAGGAAGGATGTCAACATGCTAACCACCATCCACGACGAACGCATGTCAGATGTCTCTGTCCGGGGCAGAGTAGAGTCCAAACCAGTTTGCATCAGTGCGTATAATAAGTACATGGGGGGGTGTTGATTTGGCTGATCAGCTGATGCAGCCATATCTTATTTTACGAAAAACCAAAGCATGGTATAAAAAGGTGGCTATCTATCTGATGCAAATAGCAACCCACAACTCATTTTTGCTTTTTTTTAAAAAATTATCCATGGAAACCCACCTTTCTCCAATTTCAGTTGAAAATAATTTTAACAATTTATGGAGATGTACAAGTTCCAACCATGGTGCAAGCTGAGTCCAGGCATTTTATTTTTAAGTTACCGCCAACAGCTAGAAAACCCCCCCAGAAACGTTGCCGGGTCTGTTTTAAAAACGGGAAAAGGACAGACACCCCTTTTCACTGTCCTGATTGCCCTTCGAAACCAGGACTGTGTGTAGGAACATCTTGCAAGCTGTACCACACAGAATAGTTGTAAGAAGTGTTCCTGAATTTTTTTTATTTTTTGTTTCTTTGGAAAGCAGCCATTTTTTGTTAGTCAGTTTCTTTCCCCCAAATCTCCAGTTAGATTCTATTTGCAGGAGTCAGTTTAAAGATGATTGCTAAATGTACACTTGCTACCTGCACATTTGGTCTAACAAGTTTTCTGGTAGTAACACATAACCAGCTGGTCAAAACCAGATGCTGTGTGCATAAAAAACAGAATTTAAAAATTACCACTACACTTTCTGTTTTTTGGGGGGGGCAAAATGGTTGGGGGAAAGAAGTCAAAACACCCCATCTTCTATAACCTTTGTCTACTTTATAACAATATATACTATATATACTTTCATGATGGTAACATTAACTGGGGGTGCAAATATATGTCAAACTGAAGATAGACCAAGCATACCTATATATCAAGTTGAGAAACTGACATGTACAAGTTCTGATTGTTGCCTTTTGGCCCCCAAACAACCCAGCAACACTATACATGGGGGGTATCTCTGTACTCGGGAGATGTTGCTGAACATATTGGGGTGTTGTTTGGCAGTGACACATAGCAGGATCTGTTAATTCATGCCTAAAGTACGATGTGTGTGAAAAAAGCAGGAAAAAAATGTACTACCTTAATGTTTTGACAAAGCTGTTGGTAGAATTAGTGCATGGAAAGTGTTAAAATACCACCATGTGAAATACCCTAGGGTGTCTACTTTACAAAAATGTATGGTTTGATGGGGGTAAAATACATTGGCCGGCTTCAAAAATGTCCCAAATAGGACATGCATGCAGGTTGACTGCATGTTAAAATTCCAAGCTGGGAAACTGATAAGCGTACCTGCCAAATGTGGCCTTTTAGCCCCCCCAACAACCCGACACACCTATACGTGGGGGGTATCCCTGTACTCGGGAGATGTTGCTGAACACATATTGGGGTGTTGTTTGGCAGTGACACCTAACAGAATCTGTGAATTTATACCTGAATTGCAATGTATGTGAAAAAAAAAAAAAAATTAAAATAAACTACCTATGCAAAGTTTGGAAAAGGTTTGTGGTAAAATGGCTGCATAGAAAGTATCAAAATATTCTTAGATGAATATCCTGGGTTATCTAGTTTAAGAAAAATATATACATGTGAGGTGTTTTTTGGAGATTCATGACATAACAGTGTTACAATGTCACTATTGATACATTTGAAAAATGTAAATTTTGAAACCGCAATTTCCTACTTGTATTTATAGCCCTATACCTTGCAAATAAAAGCAAAAAAAAACGTAAACACTGGGTGTTTTTAAACTCAGGACAAAGTTTTGAATCTATTTAGCAGTTTGTTTCATTCGATTTTGTAGATCAGTAAAAGATTATTATTTTTTTTAAGTAGAAGTCAAAAAGTTTTTTGTTTTTTTTTCACCATATTTTATTTAAAAAAAAAAATTAAATTATGACATGATAAAAATAATAGTATGTAAAGAAAGCCCTTTTTGTCCTGGGAAAAAATCTAATTTGTATGGGAGCAGTAAATGAGAGAGCGGAAAATTACAGCCAAACACCACAAAAGTGTTAAAACCTTAACCTGGTCCTCACCCTACAAACATCCCGGTCCTGAAGGGGTTAATGAGTCACTCTAAACATTCCACAGCTTCCCCTGACTTCCTGGGTGACCAGCTGTCCTTGCAGCTCCATTACATCAGCCACTATTTCTAGAAACACAGCTTCCCAGAGCCCGGCACTTCCGGCTTGCGTTCCACGCCTCGCTCCTGCGCGCACCACGTGCTCCGGGCGCAGCCAATGAGCCGGGCGGGCGGGCGGGCTCTGGGAGCGAGGCGTGGCCAGCATCTGTCAACCGCTTCCGGGTTTGGAGCGGTTAAGCCGAGGGTCTGGCAGCTGGCGGCTTCAGTCTCTCACACGGTCACCGGAGAGCGGGGTCTGCGCGGAGCCCATGCCGGCAGGTGAGGCCACAGGAAGGGGCGGCCTGGGGTGGAGGGGTAGCACTGGGTATTAAGCTCTGGGGGACATTTAGGACAAAATAAAGGGGTTTTGTGTATTTTTTTTAAATTTACTTTTTTTTAAATAAACCCTTTATTTTGGGCTAAAAGGTAAATTCCTGGATATTCCCTCCATCAAGCATTTGAATACTACATACACCATGTGTTCCCTGAGAGTGTTAATCCTACATGAAAAGGGCTGCCCTGGTGTATGTAGACATCATATGCTGTTGGGAAATTTATTTATTTTTTTAATTTGTGTGAAAATATGTAATATTATTTGGGGAGGGAGGTGGGTGTATGTTTTAAATTAAATTTTTATTTTATTTTTTCATGTGTATATATTGAAAATTTTGAGTAATTCCTTCGCCTGTCTTTCTCAAGTCCTTTCTTTCGGCAATCTTTACGCACCTTAATTTGGGTTGTCTGTTACCTGGGACAAAGCTCGCTGTATTGCGGACAACCATGAAAACCATGTACGTCCGCTCGCGGTATTTCCTCTTCGATGACTTTGAGAAAGCAGCAGACCCATTTACAACTGGTCGGCATTGGGTCCGATAACTGACAACCCAAGGAGTGCAAAGAGATTGTCCGAGGGGATGGAAACCGTAGCAAGGGGTGTCTTTGAGAATTTCCATATACATGATTTGAAAAATATTTTAACATATAGTATTTCTTTGCCACACTGTAGGCTTTATACACTTTTGCCCAATAGCAATAAGTGGCCTGTTTTGAAAGAAAGCACACAGTGGGTTATTCACTAAAATGTGAAAATAGTGGGAATACCAAGTTTCACATTTCAGACCAACGTAGTGAGATTGGGAAAACTCTTCATGTGAGCAATTATGGTCTCGGGTTTCAAATTCTCTTGGAATTTTCTGACCTTTCACATTTCAGTGAGTAACCGACAAGTTCTGCCAATTTAATTCTTTGTCAGAGGGTGTGACTTTTTTCCTGTTCTTGTGATAATCATATTCTATATTCAATAGAATGGATCTACAGTAGTAACAGATACTCGTAGTGTAATATCATAAATACACCATATAGTAGTATTTAAGGTTGCACTCACAAACTAATATTTATTTTAAAGATATTTTACCAGGAAAGATACATTGAGATTTCTCTCATTTTCAGGTATGTCATGGGTCCACAAAACATTGCATTGATACAATAGGGTAAAATAAAATACAAAAACATTATACACAATATATACAAAATTTAACATGGAACAGGTAGGGAATGTATAATCAACCATAACTCGTGTCTTCTGTTTTGAGGTATGTAGAGAGGGATCTCTTAAAGGACTTTAGGCTTGGGGAAGATTTGAAAGTGTGCGGGAGGTCGTCCCATAAGGCTTGCAGCGCATCCGGTTTCGGGAGTAAGCTACAGATGTTGCAGTGCACCAAAGAGAGGCTTTATTTTGTGGGGAGATTAGGACTAGAATTAGTTGGGGGACCAGGGTTAGACTCCACATCATTTGCAGGGGCAAGTAACATAAGGAATAGGAATTTGGACATCATTTTTGTTTGGCCATTAATTGATTGAAGGCATATCAATTATTAAAGTTGGCAAAACATCTTCCATACGTGAAAGGGCATTTGTAAGAGAATAAAAAGCAAATAATAAATGCAGACTTTTTTTTTTAAAATTTTTTTTTTTTTTTTTGTGCAAGGAAATATAACAGGCTTGGGGTGCCCCAAAAGCATTCCCTTCGCTATTTTCATCGTTTTTAACATTGGGGTGTTTGAGGTTACATGCACATTTTTAGGTTAATTGTGAAGACATTGGTCATGCTGAAACGTAACTATAGGCATACATATGTGTTATCTTAGCGTGGTTGCATATATCAGGCAATATCTCAACAGCAGAGATGAGGTGCAATTTTAAAACTAGAACAAGCTTCTCAGGCTTAGTCGTTTATGTCCTTAATACTCAATATTAATCACTCTAAACAGTATGATATGTAAGTAAGTTTGTGTGTGGTGTCCTGTCTCGTCTGAGCAGCTCTAGTACCATCCTGGTAGATTTGCACATCTCTGAGTAGTTGAAGCAACTAATGCAAGTGGCCTAGGCACTGATCTATCCAGTAAGTCCAGGGCATGCGTAATGTACCTTCGCTAGCTAACCTACTGTGATGCATATACAGTCCTGTGGCACTAACTTATATAACAGAGACCGTAGTAGGGTTAAGTATTTACATGCTAGAACAGGGTTGTTATGGTGGTCCAGTAGATAATGGCTTCTCTGGGCTGCAACTCACTGCCGATAGTCCCCGGAGCAATTCATCCGATGCCTGACCTCTTGAGGCCATGTGGGCTTGCATGCGGTGTATAGAGGGTGGGTGCAGTTGGCGGAGTCTTGCTAGAGCTCGGTCCAAGGTCACAAGGAGGGAAGAGAGCGAGTGTCTCTAATCGGTGGGGTTCAGTACTTCTCCTTTCTATTGTGGAGCCTCTGCTGTCTTGGTGGCACGAGTTTTCACCGCGGGTGGGAGTGATGGAGGGTCTGTTAATCTCTATTCTCTTGGGATGCTTTTGCCTCAGTTTGTGGGTGATTCTTCCAGGTTTTCCTCCCTTTAGCCCGCAGCTAAGGTGTGGGTGATTGAGTGTGACGGTGTTGCGTCCGTGGGTTTTCCTGTCACCTCCCTCTGCCTGCGACTCTTTTTACCCATTGCTTTTAGGTCATGCAGGTCTGGTATGGCTGTTTGTTGCCGCTCTTTAAGTTTTTGTGTTTTCAGAAGCGGCTGAAAATCTCCAGCCGCTGCACGATGTCAAACTGTCGGCTCAGTGTCGACAGCTTGCTTTCAGGTGCTGTGTTGTCAGCCGCCATCTTAGGTGCATCTCGTGAGGGACTGCATCTCTGCGTTTCATTTTTATGTTTGAGATGTGGTCTTGGCTGATTGCTCCAGTCACCCTGTGTGGACCGGGTTAACCAATGCCAGTCCCTGAGGGGGGAGGGTAGGAGGCAAGTGCACTGAGGGATCTGTTCTCTGCTTTACCGTCCAGGAGAGCAGCCGCCTCTCCCCGTCTCGGCCACAGGCAGGCCTCATTGTCAGGATTACAGAATGATCTAGCACATAGAATTGTGTAACACAGAGGACTGATAAGTAATGTATACCGGACCCTAGAATGGCTGGACTAATGTCCCAAAGAATAGACAGGAATAGCCGAGGTCAAGGGAAACAGAAAGAGACACAAAGATAAGGAAATGCCAGGAGTCAGGGATGCCAGAAAACAGGGAAGTCAAATAACCAGAATTACCAGAATCAAATAATGCGCTCTCGGGAAACCACGACAGGGCACTGAGCAGGATGAGAACTGGGCCTAAATACCCCTACTATAGATCTGATAGGCTGTAGCTGGTCTTTGACCCCAAAGGCAGTTACCAGGTTCCAATTTGCATAATTTTTGCTCAGCATTAACCCTTCTGTGGATTTGGTTGCTGCTCGGCACAACTTTTCCTGTGTGGACAGTAAATGCCATTAACCTCATTTTTATAAGCGGATGAATACGTGACACTCATTTGCTCGTTGTCGGTTCCCGGGCGGTGAGTTTCTCGATTCCGGTGTCTTCGGGTTCCCCCTATACGGCTCGTGCCTTCTGGCAGGTGAAGGCGTTGAATTTCGTTTTTTTTCCCCTTATGTCTGGTTTGTCATGAGCTGATTTTCAGCGTGTCCGTCCATTACTGTGGTTAGGCTCCGGCCCCCAATGCAGACTGTGGTTTTTTTTTTTTTTTGTTTTTTTTTTAACCTGGTTGTGCATGTTAGTTAATAACACTTACAAGATCGTAGTGATACATATGCATATCAATTCCCAGGATATTCTAGTCCTCAGCAGCAGTCCACAGGCTATCTCAATAGAGAATAGGAAAACCACTTCCTCAATTGGCAGTGAGATTTATTAAATAAAACAACAAAATTAGAACGAAATAAAATAAAACTGAATATTAACAATAAATGAATAAAAAAAACTCTACAATAGCCCAACCCTACGTGTTCCATCGATAAACTGCAGATTTTCTAAGGGGTAAAAATAAATGTCCAATCCTTTTTTGAAGAAAATAGGACCGAAAGATTAGAGGTGAATTACTCCAGAATCATAAGCATACAAGAGAAATTCCAATTTCAAATATGCGTTTAATACCCAGTACAATTCCAAAGCCTCCAATATTCATCGTATTATTAAAAAGCACTGGTCACTTCCTTTAGAAGATGACTTCTTAAAAACGAAACTTCTGAGGAATCCTAAGACTATTTATTAAAACAAATTTAAAATTTTTTTTTTTTTTAATATTATTGCCCCTAGCACCTTTCGGAAGGAAGCGGGTAGGTAGAAGTGCAATATTGATTTCCACACAGGTGGAAACTGTAAAGCATGTGGACATTCTTATAAGTCCTATAAAGATTTCAAAAGTACTCAGACATCTGAAGTTTTTAAAGTTAAGTCACATCTCTTGTTCCTCAACACATGTTGTGTACCTGATCACTTGTGGATGTGGGGAGGACTGGGAGGCTAGAAGAAAAAGATCTGTCACTCCAATAATATGAAATAAAGATTATTGATTAAAAATCTCAAATACTTTATTAAATCAAAAAAGACTCACAGTTAACAGGACAAGCCCTAACTATAGCTACCAGACACGAAAGTATGTATGGTGAGAAATAACACACACGTGTAAATAATAAAGCACACAAACACACTGAGCTGGCACACAGATATATATCAATATGTATGTGAGTCTTTTTTGATTTAATAAAGTATTTTTGAGATTTTTAATCAATAACCTTTATTTCATATTGTGACAGAACCATCTGTTTGGTTATTTCAGGTGTATTCGTCTGTTTCTATCCTGTTCGTGCAAATGGCTGTTTCCTATAGCCTAGCCATACGAATGACTGTTTTTCCCAAACAAACCTACCGAACGGACGGCCACCCAGGAGAGAAGTGTGCTGCTAATTAACCTATTGATCCCAATTAGAACGTTGTGGTTAACCTCAGACCCTTCTCAATTAAACCGAATTCAGGGTGGTCGTCGTACGTATGTCGACCACGAGGCAGCGGCCATTTTAAACCACGCGAAAGCCCAGCGGTGTTTGGCTCTATTTCTATGGAACTAAAAACTGACACTTTTTCTGCCGAAAACCGATGAAACAACGGAACGCCTGGATGCCTCCACGAAAGCATACGAATACCGGCCGTTCGGGAGCTTTGAAGCATACGAAAAGACTTAACCCAGATAGCCTTCCCATGGAGTCATTCGTATACCGAAGGACTGTAAGAACTTTGACTCCGTGGTGATTGAACTATGTGTGTGGGATCTGAGCGCTATTCGCTAATAATATGCACTCAGATCCAGGCTATCTGGGGATATGTGATAAGAATGGGAAATGTTCGGTTTTTGTGAAGTTCTGTATTTTTATGTCTTTTGATTTTATATTTAAAATGGCGACTGGCTTTGTCCTGGAGATAATTGAGTTACTCCTTAATTATCTCCAGGGCAGACAGGAGAAAACCATATTGCATTGTGGGTAAAATATGTGACTGTGTGTCTGGAATGTCCCCATATCTGTCTGTCATTCAAGTCTCCCATTTGGTCCCCTAGGAGAGTGTCCACCAAGTGGGAGACCTGCATAAATACTGGCAGGTAGCCCACAGTAAAGCCAGATCCTGTTTGACCCTCAATGCAGAGCTTCTGTCTCGTTATTGGGGGGATTTCTTCTTTACGCTTTGTGAGCGTAAAAGTGGAATTGTGGTTGATGGAAGATACATCAGGCCTGATTTGTTAAACAGCAACCTGAGAAGAGAGGGAGAGATGTTAGAGTTTGCAATCTACATTGCTGAGGTTCTGCAAAACATGGTATGGGTCCCTGGGGCGGAGTATTTGGAGAGCAGGGTGGGTCAATGCTCCAACAGCATTAGTTGCTGTGTAACAGACCACTATTTGGATCTGACTTACAAGTTAGTTAATTGGCACTCACCTGTAGCCAGTTAATTAGTAGACAGGCCTTTAACCCCTTAAGGACGGAGCCAAATGTACACGTTGTGAACGAAACAAAATGTAAACAAAACCTGGCATTTGCGCTACATGTCTGTCCAACCGTAATACACCTCTTTCATAGTAAATGCACCCACCCTTATTATATATCATTTTATTCAGGGGAAACAGGGCTTTCATTTAATATCAAATATTTAGCTATGAAACATAATTTAATATGAAAAAAATGGGAGAAAATAAATGTTATTTATTTAGTTCTACATGACATTTTAACGGTCAATGTCATAATACTGTTTGCTTTTACTGCAATAAAATACACATATTTGTATTCAGCAAAGTCTCACGTGTACAACAGTACCCCCTACGTACAGGTTTTATGGCGTTTTGGGAAGTTACGGGGTCAAATATAGCACGTTACATTTGAAATTGAAATTCGCCAGATTGGTTATGTTGCCTTTGAGACTGTATAGTAGCCCGGGAATGAAATTTACACCCATAATGGCATACCATTTGCAATAGTAGACAACCCAAGGTATCGCAAATGGGGTATGTCCAGTCTTTTTTAGTAGCCATTTGGTCACAAACACTGGCCAAAGTTAGCGTTAGTATCTGTTTGTGTGAAAAATGCAAAAAAAGCCAATTTTGGCCAGTGTTTGTGACTATGTGGCTACTAAAAAAGACTGGACATACCCTGTTTGCAATACCTTGGGTTGTCTACTATTGCAAATGGTATGCCATCATAGGGGTAATTTTCATTCTTGAGCTACCATAGGGTCTCAAAGGCAACGTAACCAATCTGGCGAATTTTAATGTGAAAAAAATGAAACGCAAGCCTTATATTTGACGCTGTAACTTTTGAAAACACCATAAAACCTGTACATGAGGGGTACTGTTGTTCTCGGGAGACTTCGCTGAACACAAATATTTGTGTTTCAAAACAGTAAAAAGTATTGCAGCAATAATATCGTCCGTGTAAGTGCTGTTTGTGCGTGAAAAATGCAAAAAACTTCACTTTTACTGGCGATATCATTGTTGTAATACATTTTACTGTTTTGAAACACTAATATTTGTGTTCAGCGAAGTCTCCCGAGTAAAACAGTACACCCAATTTACAGGTTTTATGGTGTCTTGGAAAGTTATAGGGTTAAATATAGTGCTAGCAAATTAAATTCCCTATACTTTCGGCATGGGTTGTCAGGCAGGTCCCGCTAATTGTAATTAATTAGGATACCTAATTATGTAAAAATATTACATAAATATATGTGTAGAATTAATATATGTGTATATATACGTGTGTGTGTGTGTGTATGTGTATATATATATGTGTGTATGTATGTATGTATGTATGTATGTATATATATATATATATATATATATATATTTTTAAAATATTTGTATTTATATATAGGTGTATATATTTAGTGATATATATGTATATATTTATGTATATAGATTTCGTTCTACGTGTATTTTGATATAAATATATATATTAATATCACAATACAGTTAGAACGAAATAACAAACATCTATATATTTTTTTATTATTTTTAATTTTTTTAATTTTTTTAATTTTATTTTTTTTACTTATTTACATTTTTTTATAATATATATATATATATATATATATATATATATCTATCAATAATTATATATATTTAATCAGTATTAGTCTACGTGTAATTTGATAGTAATATATATATATATATAAATAATTATATATATTAATATTTAAATACACTTCGTGTGTGTGTGTGTGTGTGTGTGTGTGTATATATATATATATATATATATATATATATATATATATATATATATATATATATGTAATATATATATATATAATATATGATCTAAGTATATTTTATATGTAACTGTAATTTTTTTTTAAACTAATTTATTTTTTTTACAGGACAGGGGGCAGACACAGTGTCAGCCAGTGATTTTACATCACTGGCTGACACACAGGATCAGTGATCACAGTGACTGCCTGTCACTGTGATCACCTCCTGCAGATTGGGTAATTGGCCACAGGGGGGAGTGCCTGGGTGGTACAAGCACTCCCCCCTTCCAATCTGCAGGGGGATCTTGTGCCAGTTACATGTGTCAGCCAATAGGCTGACACATGTAACACTGATCGCAGTGACAGGCTGTCACTGCGATCTCAGAAGTGCAGATCGCGGTCACTGACCCCAGGGGGACTGCCTGGGGGGCCAGGTAAGTCCCCCGACCGCGATCTGCACGGGGTAGCCGCTGGCCACGTGTGTCAGCCGATTTGAAATCGGCTGACACACGTTAAAAAACTGATCGCAGTGACAGCCTGTCACTGCGATCAGTGACTGCAGATCGCGGTCACCGGCCACAGGGGGGGTTGCCTGGGGGGCCGGGCATCCCCCCCGACCGCGATCTGCAGCGGGCGAATAGCGCCGGCCACGTGGGCGGCCATTAAAGTGAGGGCGTACTATTACGCCCGCCGGCGTTTAGAGCCGGCTCCTGCAGGGCGTAATAGTACGCCCTCCGTCCTTAAGGGGTTAAAAGAAGAGGGCAGCCTGCTGCAGAGTGATGGAGAAAAAGACAGCTAGGAGAGTGAAAGATTATTGTGTTTATTGCAAAGCCATTTCTTTTGGAAAATTGGTAAGTGGGAAAGCCACCCAATTATAGAGAGTAATTCCTGTCTAGTAAGAGCAAGGGATTTTGTTTTTGTTATTATTTAAAGCACCTGTTTTCTTATTTGTATTGCAGAAGGGGAAGGTCGCCTAAACGGCGGTTTCGTTTAAAGACACTAGGGGTGTCTTAACACATATTATTGGAGGGACAGATCTTCTCTTTCTTTTTGTCAATTATTTCATTAGGGTTACCCACTGTCCTGTCCCCTTGAATTTTTGGCCAACCAATCTCTAAGATGCCTAGAACATTACAATAATATATGGAAAAAGATGACTACACATTCTGTCCCTATGCACTGCAATTCATGTCCATTCTTTAAGAACAATCTCAATTTTATGGCTATTGAGAGTGCAATTAGACCAAAGAGGAGGGGATTTGATGTTAAAACTGAGAAGAAGGCTTCTGGATCCACAAACTAAACACCATGCAACCTAGGGGTTTAAAGGTAGATTTGAGTTTTTTTTTTTTTTTTTATATATTGACTTAAATTTTTCTTTTAAATATTCTCATTAGTTTTAGGTTTTGTTCATGTTAGTAAGCTCTTTGAATACTTCTGATCGTACATCTATATTTTTTTTGTTCTTTTTACTTGTATATTGTGTATTTCACTTAAGGGTTATTACATACTTTGAATATGATATAACTGTGCTGTGCAATTTTGGGCACCTGTTCTAAAGGAGGATATTATGGCACTAGAAAAAGTGCAGAGGCGGGCTACAAAATTAATAAAAAGAATGGAAAGGTTAACAAATTTAAACCTATTTAGTTTAGAAAAACGTTGCCTGAGAGGGGATATAACATTTATACTAATATATTCGGGCCAATACAAACCATTGTGTGGAAATCTATTCACAAACCGGACTTTACATAGGACACGCGGTCGTGTGTTTAGACTGGAAGATTTCTCTGTGGAATTCTCTGCCTGAAGAAATAGTTTTATCAGTCCATACAGATGTTCAAACAGCAACTAGATGCATACTTGCAAGAACAGAATATTCAAGGATATAATCTTTCAATGTAGGGTAATAACTGCTTGATCCAAAGATAAATCTGACTGCCATTCTGGGGTCAAGAAGGAATTTTTTTCCTAGCTTGTTGCAAAATTGCGTTTCAAACTGTTGTGTTTTTTTTTTTTTTTTTTGGATCAACAGCAAAAAACAAATGTGAGGTAGGCTGAACTTGATGGACGCAAGTCTCTTTTCAGCTATGTACCTATGTAACTTGCAAAACAGAATATTCAAGGATATAATCTTTCAATGTAGGGTAATAACTGCTCGATCAAAGGATAAATCTGACTGCCATTCTGGGGTCAAGAAGGCATTTTTGCAAAAACTGGTAGTGCTTCAAACTTTTTATTATTTTTTTTATTTTAATTTTTTTGCCTTCTTCTGGATCAACATCAAAAAACAAATGTGAGGAAGGCTGAACTTGATGGACGCAAGTCTCTTTTCCGCTATTTAATAAAAATAAGAGTATAATTCATATATTTTTTTTAATTCGATTTACTTGTAACATTGAGTATTATATGGACTGTAAATGAAGTTGGCATCTCGAAAGAGATTGAGCTGGAACGCAAGTGTGACCGCACAGCGGTTTCAAGAGAGGCTCTGAACGCACATGGAAAGCAGTGAGCAACACCTGTAGCCTCTCGCCACGGACTGGCTGATGGCATCCGCTGATTTAAAAACTAAGCCTGGCGGCAAACAGAAATGAATGCACAGGAGGCTGGACTTTTATTTTTAGCCTTGAGGAAGTCTGACGTTTATCGAACGAAACGCGTAGGGTTGGGCTATTGTAGAGCTGACTATAATATCCTGGGATTTGATAAGCATATATATCACTACAATCTTGTAAATGTTAACTAAAGCGCAATACCAGGTTAAAAACAGTCTGCATTTATTATTTGCTATTATTCTCTTACATTCCCATTCACGTGTGGAAGATCTTTTGCCAAATTTAATAATTGATGTGCCTTCAATCAATATTAGTTTGTGAGTACAACCTTAAATACTACTATATGGTGTATTTATGATATTACAGTTTTTTATTCTGTTCCAACTGTAGATCCATTCTATTGAATATATTTGTTCAGCGGACTGGAAGGAGTCCTGTTTTGTTAGTTTTACAGTGTTGATTTGTTTTACCTCCACATTATGTCTTTCCACTTTGATTTGTAAGGGTGATATTTTATTTTTGATCATATTCTGCAGTATTTAGTCTAAAATTGTATTGACCGTTTGATACGCAAGTTGTTTTTGACTGGTTTTCTCAGGATGCTCAGTTGGTTGAATGTTGTCCAGGAACAAACTGAGATAATTGGGCAACTGTTAAATATTTTCTTGTTCTACTAGATTAGATATCCCTTTTTAAAGCACCATAACCACTTCACTGATATAAAGAGGTCATGGTGCCTAAAGTCTGTATGGTTAGTGTTTCGCTATGTAATGGTGCACATACTGAGTTGAACCTCTCTGCTGCTTGAGGCGTAAGTCCAACTACATGATTAGCTGTCCAGGAACAAGAGTTCCTGGTCGGCTAATGTGACTTCTGTGCAAATTTGGCTGCTGATCCCCTCAGCCCGCACTCTGACATTCACCCTACAGCAAGGAGTGATGTCACTTAAGCAGGGTAGAACTGCCTGGACCTGGAACATTATTTAATCTTTTTTTGATTGGAGTAATTTTTTAAAGTTAAACTATTGTACCAGTAAGAGTTGTCTTCCTGGCACTATAGTTCCCTATGGTGTCCCTCTCACTCTCTGTGGTGCAGTAGTGGTTAAAAAAACCAAACAAAAGCAACCGGTCACCTACATCAGTCTAGCGCTAATGTCGCTTGGCGCTGGCTTGTGAACGCCTCCTACTCCCCCCACCGTCAGCTGGTGGAGACCTAATGCGCATGCACAGCATTTGGCCATGCTCGCATTAAGCTTTCCCAATATGTGTATTTGGGTGATGCTGGATTAGGGCTTGACAAATTTGCAGGTAACCTAAATATGCATATGCTCGCTGGCAAACCCACCCAGATTCCTTGCCTTTGGCAAAGCTGGAGTGAACTAGCTTTCCCTGGGGTCCAGTGGGGCTGCTGTCTTCTCTCTGCTCTGCTCCCCAGGAGCGCGATATAGTGATGTAGGGCCGGAATTATGTCATATTCCAGCTCCTGGCATTACAGGAGGACGCGCAAGGGAGCAGAGAGAAGACCTTTGCTGCCTCCCTCAATCCGCAACCTGCCTCCTTTCCTCAGCTCTCAATTAGCCAAACGTCTGCCTGCCTCAGTCCTGCGTGAGACGACTGCCCGCCTCCAATTTCGGGCAACAGGTCACCTCAGGGGCTGAACAGGCTCACAAATCCCCTGACAAATTTCCTGGTCGTCTTGGCGCCTGAGATTTGTCAAGCCCTGTGCTAGATATCCGAATGCATAGTGTGAGGGTGACTAGAAGTCCTGGTAGAGGTGGAGTTAACTTAGAAATAACTGCAATAGTTACCTTTGCTGGGTTAAGTGACATGGGAATATGCACATGCAGACTATTTCAATGAGCTGAAGTAGTCTGGGTGCCTATAATGTCCCTTAAATATAACTTTGTATTTATCATAGTAAAGACTACTGTTCACAACTGGTCTGTCAACTCTTTGACCATCTTGGAAAGAGAAGTTCACCATATTCAGCACTTTATTTATTTTAATTCCTTCCAGTGGGTGGTGGTCAGTGACGAACCCTATTCACTAAGTTGATCTTCTTTCTATTACTTAACCTGGACTGTCTCTCTTGCATTTTGCTATTTTGAGTAAAAGTACAATGGCATTTATCAGGCTCTAATCATGAACAAATTCTGTGTATTAAACATGACTTTACAAACGAGTAATGAGCGGGTGTAGTGACTGTAGGTAAATGTGACATGCAAGTGCCCTCATTATCTGTTTTCTGCTGACCCTAAATATTCTCAAATTTTGAGAAACTCAAAATGTTACTCAAAATATGCTGAGTCACTTATATACTTGGATACATACTGGTAATTGTTTTATTGAGAATGCCCAAGGGGATTCCCTCTGCAGACCAGGATTCGACACTTAAAGAGAATCCATTCAGTCTGTGTACTGGTTGTCACCGGGTGGTGTGAAAGCCTAAGTTTAGCTGTCTTCTGCAGGAAGTGTTTTGTAAATCTCATCTTTCGCAAGCTGGCCAGAGGTGCTGCTTTCTGTGCGTATTCTAAGACTAATCTATTTGTAGCTTCAAGTCCATGATCTTCTATTCACTTTTTATACCCTGGTCAAGATAGAAAAAGCACATATTACATAGCTATATCTTTGCCACACTTCCTTTTTATACTTCCTCTTATTAATGTGTTAGCAAGACATTGAGACATTCTAAGTATAATCCACCCTTTCTGATTAGATCACCTTTATATAATTTCACATCATATTGATATTTTCACATATCATTATATCTATTTAACATATACAACTTACTTTTTAGTGGTTATCCCATTCATAACATCCCCCAGCTTAATTTTATTTTTGTGTACTAATTGATTATAGCTTTCTGAATAGGAGTGTTTTGGTATTAACTGGTTTCAGTTCCCCACTGAAACCTGGAAAGACAATATTCACAACGCATTACATTTTTTTTTTTTTTTTCCCATTCTCAACACGTAAGTATAATATCTTTTATTTCCAGATAAAAACTTTGTCAAAAAGACTGTCTATATGCAATTCCTTATCTGTAAAACTGATGTCTGTGTATTTTTACATATGCTCTAGGTATGGTTTCACATCAATTTAAAGAAACACTATAGTGTCAGGTATACAAGCCTGTATTCCTGACACCATAGTCCTGAAGCGGCTGTTTAGCTCCCATCCACACTGGTCTTGTTGTGGTTGGCTCTGCCTCCATGGCAGATATCAATCTTGATGTTTTCAGCCAATCCAATGTTAACCTATAGGAAAGCATCGGGAGGCTATTGCACATAGCCCCCTCCTGTTTTCTACCCAGCTTTTGATCGGAAGAGAGAGACTGTTTGGTGCTATTATTTTGGGACAGCCTATACATGCCAGAACCACTGTATTTTTGTCACTATAGTGTTCTTTTAATGTAAACCTGTATTCCTGCCACTATAGGTGAGAATCTATTTTAGGTGGCTGGGCACCCTTTTGGCAAAGTAAATGTTTAATTTTTATCCAGTGTTGCAAATCCAATATTTTCCAATAGGAAAGCATTTGGAAGCTATTGCGCATGCGTGTCAAAAAGCAGCACTGTGCCAATGAACATATTTGTCATCGAGATGTGTTTAATCAATATGAGAAACATTCAGCATCTCTATGAAGAGCATTTTGAGTGACCGCCGCTAGAGGTGTTTCTGGGCAGCAATGTAAACACTACCTTTTTTCTTTGTTTACGTTATAAAGCATGCATGAACAGGCTATAGACACCAGAACTACATTAAGCTGTAGTAGGTCTGGTGACTAATTTTCCTTTAGCAATGTGCTTATTTAATGAATTGTATCTATGGCACAGAAAGAACAGAGACCTTTTAATATTCTTTGCTAACCCACTATAAGTAAGGGTCTCACAGACTTGACTTGGTCCAGGCTACCAGCACTGTACGTCCGGGCACGGGTGGCTGTGTGCCATGTATTTGGGGAATAGTACTTTATAGCATAATATTACTTTCCTTTACTTTTATTTCCTTCACCAAGCATTCACTTTCATTTTTCTTATCTCTATTTTTATTTTATAACAACCACAGGTAGAATGTAACAATATATTGGCTGATGGATTACTATTAAAGTATTCTCAATCTTTGTGCTCTGTTATTGTGACGATGTTCATTCCATTGTACTTTAGTGTTTTACGGGAACATTCATTTTACATAATGTTCTTTTATATTGTCATGCAGGTAGAGGAATGATCTGTAATGCTTTCACTTTGTGGTTTTTTTTTTTTGCTTCCTTGACTTACAGCCTAGGTGTGTTTTGTCAAGTTGGATTAATATTATTTATAATTGACATCTTTGGACTGATGGCATGTATGTAATGGTACATTTTAGTTAAACATGTTTGCCACGAGACCTCATTAAAGGAACAGTCTAGATTAAAAAAAAATAAAAATAATTTTATTGGTTAGATTGCCACATCTCCCCATCCCCCTTTTAAAATATATATCTAGATCTATCCTCTCCTGGTACTCCTTTGGCAGGCAGTATCTTGTGCTGTGAGACATATTCCCATCATTCAGCAAAACTGAATGTAAACCTTTTTTTTCTGTAACTGAAAGTCTTTGAGGAAGTGCCTCTAGTTGCTGTCAGCCATTAAATGCATGTTTATGGACAAAAAGGGTCAGGATTGTGTTAAAAATACCACTTCATCTTTATGGTGTGGTTTTAGTTTGATGTGACAAGCAATTTGTGAATAGTTAATGTAAGGAACAACAGAGCACTGGCTGGTTTGAGTTTTGGGGATTTTTACCCCAAGAGTACCTCTTGCCAGCCACTTCATTACACTCTGGTTATCTACGTGATTACTGTTCCTGCAGGACATTGTGCATGACTAGACCTGTCGAAATGACTCAAACTATGCATTGCTATACAGAACTATGATTTATCTACAAACATCCAATGTATGGATTGTCTTTGTCGTTGATACAGAAATGGTCACCAGTCAGCCCATCTTAATTGATGCTGGCAAGAAGAAAAAGAAGAAACGAAGGAGTCGGGATACGGAGAGCTATACGGGGAAATTTGCAGGTATTCATTGTCTGTTGCCCCTTGTCTTGATATTCAGGATATCTAAATAAACTGCTCATTGTTCACATAAATATTAAATGCTGTACTAGCAAAGCCTGACCGTTGATTTAAATTACCGAATGCTTTGACTTCTGCTTATACGGTGTGAGCGCATGCAGAGTAATATGGGGAACAGCCAGTCACATGGCAGTTTGACATTAGAGTGTATGTACTGCTGTTTCACACTTTTGCATTAATCTTCCCTATAGTTTTTATTGACTTAATTAAAAAAGTTTTTTTTTTTTTTTTTTTTAAACGGTAAACAAACCGATAATACCGTATGTACACTGGAATGTGCACCTCAATTTTTAGAAGCTGAAGAAAAGTTTTTGCTGGCAAATGTAATGCACATTTATACAAGATACTACGGTCACAGCAAGGGTGCATAATTCGTTATTGCACTATGGAATATTATCCTTTAATGTAATTTGCGTAGTGCCTGCCTGGTAGAGATTGAATATTGTCAAGGTCAAAAGGTTAATTTGATTTGTATAAAAGGTCAGATTACAGAAGGGATAATGTAAATTGCATAGGAATGTAAAAAGGGTTTTATCCTTTGAATGAATCCTGTGATTAATCAAAGGCTCTGCAAGGTGTGAGAATCTGCCTGTACATATTAACTGATGGGTCAATCTCTTTGATATGTTAATGGTCATTAGCCTTGTTCCAGTATCATATCCAAAAGGAAAAAACATTAATATTTGTAATGTGGCAAACAAGCCCAATCATAATTGGCATAACTTAACCATAGGGGAAGAAATTGTGATGTCCGCCATATTGGGTCGCAAGTAAGTTGTGCAACATATGTATAGAATGGGAATGTAATAACAAATTTGTAGATGCAATTATGTACCTGCCACACAAATAAGAAGATAGAACCAAATTTTTCCATTTGGATTGATGTTGGTCTGGAACACAAGGTGGCGATTACTCATTATCTCTATAGATACACCTTAACTCCACCTCTAGACCAGTCATGGTAATCGACAGGGTATCTATCCAATGATCCTGAAATGTCTGTGTACTTGCTTGGGGCCAGAATCTAATTTTGAAGCAAGTCACTATATCTTTGTTGCCAGCGACTCACTGGGCAGACGTTTACTTTGGGAAAAATCTAAGTGGTTAGGACTTCTGCTATTTCATCCTTTTTGTTTTAATAAATAATTTGCTTGTTATCTATATTTTTGTATGCACTGTGACTAATTTTTTTTGCTAATAATAAATATTCCTTTATTAAGTTCTCCCTTCCTTTGTCTGGTAAAGAACCACATTACCTGAAGAGACTAATTAGTATTTTTGCAATTCTTTAAATATTGTGCTAAGTTGTATTTGGGGGCTTATTGATTTTACCTGGGCGTCCAAGGCACCCCATTTATAAATTGTCTGGTGGTGGCAGCGTTAAAATAGTAACAGTTATAATATGTTTAAGTGTGGGTGGTGTTAAGGGGGATTTTGTCATTATTTCCGGTCTAGTGCAGACAAATAATGAACTTTAACCCTTTCACCACCACAACTACGTCATGCACACTCTTGAAGTAGGGTGCGTTCGTGACAACTACTATATAACATTGTGCTACAATGAAAGCTTGTCCTATACCATAGTAACATTGATGCTATTTCAATTTTAGTGTTCTTGTTAAAGGATCACTATAGTGCCAGGAAAACCAACTCGTTTTCCTGGCACTACAGGGTCTTTGGGTCCCTCTCCTGAAACCCCTTCACTTACCTTTCTCCAGCGCTGGGCTCCCTCAGAACTGGGGAACTCTCCTCCTCCTGCCGACATCCGATCCGAATGCGCATGTGCGGCAAGAGCTGCAAGCGCATTCAAACTGCCCATAGGAAAGCATTGCTCAATGCTTTCCTATGGACGTCATAATCTTCTCACTGTGATACCGCCACTAGGGGCTGGATTAACCCTAGTGTAAACATAGCAGTTTCTCTGAAACTATGTTTACAGCTGCAGGGTTAACACTAGAGGGATCTGGCACCCAGACCACTTCATTAAGCTGAAGTGGTCTGGGTGCCTATAGTGGTCCTTTAAGTCTATTCTTTCTTAAGTCCTCTTTCTGCAACGAAATTTGCCGGTGTGAAATTGGCTGGAAAATTTAGAATTTTGTCCCAAATGTAATGCGCCATTGAATCTAATGTGCATTCAAATTTTTGAAAATTTATTGTCCAAAAAAAGTGCGCCTTAGTTTAGAGTAAATATGGTAATTCCTCATACAAGTCTAGCTGTCCCCTCTGTCACATTCTAATTTTGCGTAATCGATAAAAGAAAGGTGCTATCGTGTAAAGTACACACTAGATTTTAAGTGTCCCAAATTTATTCCAGGTCAGCCTGTCTGTGAGACCCTTTGTCTTCAATTTCTTGCTTATCCCCTGCTTCCTCCCAACTCCATAGAATTTTTTTTATTTTTTATTTTTGGCCCATTTGTTTATTGCCTATAGGGTTACTCCAGTGATTTGTAGTGGTCATGATGTCTGGAATCTGTACATGTAAATTTTAGCTGTGAATTGCTGCACATAGAGGGTTTTAACCCCTATATCATGGTGTCATCAGCCGGTTTGGATTTACAGTCCCATACTCACTAATTTCAACTCGGAAAATTTCGATGCACGTAATTTCATTCTGGGTGTTAACTGCTTGATAAGTCTTGCACTCAGAAATTATAGGATGTTGTGTGTTTAAAATAATGGAGTAAGATTTCCAGCAGTATACATTCCTTGATAGCTTTAATCACTCTCTGCTGTGCCAGTTCCTGATCGACTCTCCTCATATGATAACCCTTTCCATTCAGAGTCTGTATGTGGGGATGACGTCAGGGTTTATGTTCAGTTTGTGACCTTTTTGGAGGTTTAAGACATTGTAATCCTGGTGTTCTTCCCTTGGCAGACCTTTACAAGCTGACAGATGAGCTCCTTGGAGAGGGGGCTTATGCAAAGGTCCAAGGCTGTATCAGTTTGCAGACTGGCAAAGATTACGCAGTTAAGGTAATTTGGAAATAAACAGAGCACATTCCTACATCATCCCAATAGTATAACTCCTACACTCTGCATGCTTTCTATGACTGATTAAAATGATTTCACAAAGCTTATAACAGAAAAATAGAACATCTGACGATTTCAAGACAGTTACCCCTTTATCTGAATTGTCCAGCACATCTGTTATCTGTCTATATACGTGTGACTGTTTAATAAAAATAAAAAGGAAGATGGCATTTCAGAAAAATTTACTTTCATTTCACATGATCCCCTCTTTTTAAATGGTGATTTTATAGTGTGTGTGTGTGTGTGTGTGTGTGTGTGTGTGTGTATATATATCTATCACTACTTTATGGGAGGACGGGGAGGGGTTCCACTCGGTGTATACTATCTGGAATTAAAAACAAACAAATCAACCACAATAGATATGTTTGCCAACCCCTTGATAAGTGTTTAAATATATAAACCAGAGCTGTGAGAGCTGGCACCTGCTCCTCTCTGTGCAATCCTGCAAGTTGTAGTATTTTGGTAAAGCCAGTCAGCCTATAAATGTGGAGATTGATTAATGCAGGCTGAATGTAAGAGTTGGACTGGTAATTTAGAATTTTAACTGTTTTGTTGTTCATACAAAGGGATATTTATTACATTTAATCAATTGCATAGTCCATGTTGTCTAAATCCTCTGCAAATATAAAATTACAGAAATGCTTTGTAGTGTCTGACTGCAGTACAACCATTCTCAGAAGATGCTAACAAAGCATCGCGGGCTGCAGGTTTAATCACTTGCATGGTTACTTGAAGAGTTCAAAGTACATTTCACATTTGAGGACCGAGTGGCTGAAGTGAACTTAGCTCTCAGTTCAGCTATTTTGACCTTAAAATTGAAAGTTATGGCTATAGTGGTCAGGGACTTAAATTAAAGGGAGGTAGGGGACATGCGCACTTCACCTTGTACGCACTGAGTTCCAGGCTGCCCAAGTAACGTGTCAGGGGTGAAACTAGCCCACAGCACAAAAGTGCAAATCTCTGTATGTGCAGTGTATAAACCAGAAATGCTGCATATACTGACTCCTACCACCACGATACTTCTAAAAGAATAAGTAGTCAGGGAGGTGGGAGTAACCCTGTAGGCATAGAAACTCTATGACCATTTTATAACTTTCCTAATGATGTGGTATTAAAAGGTCAATTTTAGCTTTATTTCCGGTTACTTTCTTTACATTTTAGTAACCAGTGTTTATAGCACCACTCTCTCCTTGGTTTAAAACACAGCAGCTTCACAGGTAAACACATAGCTTCCAGGGGATACTCTGTTATTCAAATTGTCTTATGCTATGGACTTGTAGTTTGAATAACCCAACATTTTGTTCTCCAAAAGATGTAGAAATAATCACGAGGGAAGTATATTGAAATGAGGAAGTGGTTTGAAACCTTTTCTGAGAATAGATTTGATGCACATACATCAAGGGGATTTTTAGCAGTGATTACTATGAAAATGTCTTGTCTAAAGATATCAACCCAGCGTGTATTTTCTATCCTGAACCTTATCCTTTCTGAAAATAAAACATTAGTTTTTTTGAGCAGATTCTGTTTATATAGTTAAAAACAAACAAAAAAAACAAAACAAAAGAAGTAAATGTGTAGTTATGTACATACATGTTGGATGGGCTTGGTGATAGTGGGGAGAAATAGAATGCAGACTAATTAGTCTCTAATTCTCTGAGGGAATCAGAATAACTATGCCATCAGAGCAGTGATCTCCTTGGTTTTAGCAGAAACAAAATGATTTGGGTCATTGGGTTAATTTTCAGTATGTAAAGGAACCCTCTGATTAGAAACACCAACATGTATTTCTAATGTTTTTGTGAACTGTTGCTTTTTGGGCACCTCCTAGAACTGTATTACATAGTTTTGCTATCAGTCCCTTGCTGCTGTTAATGCTATACCCCAGCTGAAATCAATGACCATCGGCAAACCTAATGTTTCCCCCTAGGGACGTTTTGGGGAGCTACTGCTCGTGTGGAAATCTGAATTTCATCATAGTGATGCATTTGATCAATACTTTGTTTTGTGAGCATTGTTTCTTCATGCAGGAAAGCACCAAGAAGCGCCTCTATTGGCTCTCTGATGTAGAAAGCCACAGAAAAAAGCAGTGTTTACATTGCTGACGCTGCAGACAGTCTCTTTGCACCAGAACTTCATTAAGCTGTAGTGGTTCTGGTATTTTGTTACTTTTAAAAACAAAAATTTAAATTTTGTATTCTGATTTATTTCTGAATTTTTATTTTTATTTTTTTTTGCTTGTTAGTTTTTGGTATGTGATCATTCTTTATTTTCTCCTGGCAGATTGTGGAAAAGAAAGCTGGGCACAGCCGCAGCAGGGTATTTCGAGAAGTGGAAACCTTGTACCAGTGCCAAGGCAACAAGTAATCAAACCCTTTTACTGATTTCTACCTTGTTAAAAGTAGAGCGCCTAATCTAAACTATTCATTAGAAATGAAGCCTAACTCACGCCTTACTGATGGCTTAACTAGTATGAACGAGGTGTCATTGTGATTAGTATCTCTATATGAAGACTAGTCAAGTGCAGTGTGTGTCTGTAGCAGATCATATTGATATTTTAATAACTCCGTACCTGAGCTCAGGCATGGCTTGGCTTTAGTGCAAGTTGTCAGCTTTGAGCTACCTGACCTTTTCATCTTCCCACACAAAAGATCTGCTTCTTTTGAGATTGTATTGCTACTTGTTCAAATTTTATTTATTTTTTTTTAGGAACATTTTGGAGCTAATAGAATTCTGTGAAGATGAATCTCGTTTTTACCTGGTCTTTGAAAAATTGCGAGGAGGTAAGTTTCTAGTGTGTATGTATTCTCTGTTCAAAACAAAATGCCAGTGTATAGTGTGTCCTGTGTGACTGATTATTCAACGTATTCAGAGATGTAGTGAACATTACATTGGCTAGCAGGTTTATTAAAGAGGAGTATATATTATTTCCCCCCTTCTTGATTTGTCTGTAGGTGCATTGGCACAAACCAGTTTAACGCAGTAGACTACTGCACCGGGAACCTTCAGAAAGAAACATGGCTTTAAACCCCAAAGGTGGAAAAGCTACGTGCATGTTGAGCATTGCATTAAAGTTGACTTGGCCACCTGAGGGTGATATAGATAGGGGTGTGCTACACCCATAGTCTCTAAAGGTCCCAAGAACAGGGTACCCATGTATGCATGCAAGATACACACCCCATTAGCTTGCATTAGCCGACAAAGCACCATTGCTATTCTCACTTTATAAGTAAACTCACACGTAGGCTTATTAGCATTCTGTTTTCAGCCTCCTGTGCATCCCGTAAGAAATTGGCAACACGCAGGTAGACATACAAGAAAACGCTACACTTATGCTATATGACTGCGTGTATTAAGTTCAACAGTTCCGCTTCTATTTGTTTCTTATTGATTATTATTTATTTTTTTAACCTTTCATTTCACACCACTTCCGTCTACACACACGGTCTAGTGCACCATCAGTCAGCCAAGCCTTCCCTGTGCCTTTAGACTTTGTGGCATAGCATATTAGAATGCCAGCCTGACTAAGCCGATCATATTTAATATATTGCACACATGTCTAACTATTATGGGCTCATTATCTCCACTCTAACGTTGAGACAGACATGCCAACCTAACTTGTTTAATCATAAAATGAACATAAAAATGTGCAGTTTTATCCGTGCCAAGTCAATATCTATGTTCTGTAATTGTGTGCTGTTGTGGCACTTAAACTGTGATTGTCATTTCTAATGCACAGAAAAATAATTTATAAAAAAAAACAAAAGCAAAAAAAACTTGAAATATAATGCTTCCGCAACTTTCCCAGAATACTTGTCTGAGCTTTTCTATGCAGAAATGGATTTGTTTCACAATGTTTGTGTTTTAAAAAAAAAAAAAAACCAAAAAACCAAACCATTTTGGGTTAGATTTGTCTTACAGAATCGCAGTATGGACTTGTGATCTTTGGACTATCTCCATCTTTCTAGCCTATGTTTTTCAATTGACATCGCCCTCCTAATTACTTCACTTTACAATTAAATGACTGAGATTCAAAACCTTGCTTCTGGTCGTATTTGGAAGAATTTTTACGCAATATTAAGGGCTCACATTGGTGATTGGGGCGGAAACGTACATTGGCCTAAATAAGTGAGAAATAACGCATATATACAGTTTTGCAGTTAAGCAAATGGTACGAGCTACTGGTGTCTTCAAAGATCACCTAAAACTGTAAGATACAAGTTGGAACGGAAATCTGCATGGGTCTGGATGAATTTAACTCCTGAGTTACTACAGCAATAAATAACTAGAGACCCCTTTAGGATTTAATCAACTTTGTCTTTATCATGATAAAGAGGGTCTAAGCATGGTCAGGTTGTCTTTTGGTGGTGTCTTAAATGATGGCTAGCTAAGGAAGTATTCCAAGCACCATAACCACTACAGGTAGCTCTAGAAAGTTATAGTGCCAGGTGTGCTTAGGTGATGTCTCTAGAGAGATCAAACTTCTGCAGCAGTAGCCTGGACGTGGCACCGATGACTGGGGGACAAAGTCCAGTTATTAGTTATAAAACGGTTTGACTAATTTCATGACACTGTTCAAGGGCACACCTGGCACCAAAGCAGTTAACTGTTTATTTTGTGCATGTCTTCTGAGGCTGTATAGGTACAGAACGGACTGTGTGAAATGTGCAATAATGGATGTAGACCATAGGGAGCTGGAAGCCGACTTTAAGTAAAAACAAAAACTTAAAGAACCATTTTGCAAAAACTGTCAAAATGCTGCCCTTTTATCACTTGGTGTATGAAGTCCGAACAAGTGTAGTTGTGCCTTATTGATTGGCTCTCTCTAGCAGTGACCTTAGGATGTATGTATTTGCTCAGTAAGCCGCTATATAGAGCTCTGCTTCTGGAATTATTGCCATGAATATCTTCTGATCTTCAGGACATCCATAATGAAGATTAAAGTGTATTGTGTCTGCTCCTGCTTATAGTGCATATTCCCATTAGTGATAATGCTTGCTGTGGTGTGTCTTAACTTGTGACTCAATGGATGTTAAATGTAGTCTTTCCACGGTTTTACTGCATGTCGTTCCTGGGTCTGATATTTGGCAGTTAGGTGTCTCTCCCTCCAATAATCTTTCCCTTCTTTGAAAGCCCTATTTTTATGGACTCTGTTACTAATGTATTCACTGTGTCTATGCTCCGCTCTCCCCTTATTTCTTTCCCTAGCCTCTTTCCAGAGGTTTTTGTATTGTGTACAAACTTAATGTATTTAACCATTTATTTTTCTCCCATAAATCCAAGCCAGTTCTCACAAATGGGTAACAAGAAAAAGGGGTGGAACAGCGCTACAGTACTGATCACAGGGGGGAATGAAGCTGCACACCTGAGGGAAAGGGCAACCCTCAAACCCTTCAAAAAAACTGGGAGAACAGGAAACCGCAAATACAGGGTGCGCTAAATAGAACAATGGGAGATAATATACACAGAAAGAAGGAAGTACAAAAGTCTCTGACAATGCAATGTGGACCTTGGATAGGTATTCTTTGGTTCTTGCTTTGGGTCCTCAGTAGTTAATATGAAATACAAAAGCAGAAACAGGAAGGGACCAATAGTGCAAAACCGTTAGGAAATGGTGTCACGGACAACATAGAAATAGAGAAGTGCCAACTCTCAATATAAAGAGCTATGCCCAGCTCTAGGTAAAGCAGCATACAGTGGTATTTGAAACTCCCCACATGTAGGATATAGCTGGACAATAAAATAGTGAAGAAACACCTCCTATTGAATTTTTTTTTTTTTTTTTTTATAATACTGGATTTGCTTTGGATATGCAGGTGTTTTGATAGACATAGAGTTACATATACATTTATTTTTTATTTTCCCTTCTTCCTCCCTTCTCCGAATTCTAAAACCGCCATAAAAGTGACACAGCATTGAGTATCTTGTTAAGTGCTTCTGAATTTTGGATATCTGGTGTTGGAGAGAGGCCTTTTGTGGGCTGGTTCCTGAGCTGATCTAATCACATAAATGGTTTTCTGTTTAGTCATGCCAAGAGACTTCCATTCAGTTGTGAAGTTAAACAGTGATGGTCTTGTCTTACGTTTTGTTATGAGTCCCCATCCATTTTTAGTTGGAATACATGGCTAGTCTGTCCTCAAACTAATTTTGGTTTGTGTATGGAATCTTTGTCTATTTTGGATCAACTTAGTCTGCTTACACCAAATCTTCCGTGCTGAGTGTTTTTAAATTATTGTTCCCGAAGATGATATCTGGTAATACAGGACTTCCAGCATTCCAGTGGTAAAGTAAAGCTCCCATAATTGCTTTGTGGAAATTACTATAGAGCAACTAAATGTATAGGGGATTGTCTAGGCACTACATTGTCAGTGTTTATTTTGCAGGAGGAGTCAGGTTTTCCCACTCTTTGGGCACTTACTTGAGTGCTGGTGATCCACCACCCATTCAGATATTTCTGAAGCAGAAACCTCCACTTCTGCAATTTTTTTTTTTTTTTCCTTGTCTGAGGAGAAAATCGAACTAAAGCAAAAGTTCCCTTTCACATTTGATAATTTCTTCTATCTAAAGAGGTCTGACAGTTAAGTGTAAACCGAAAATGGTTTGACTACTTACCAGAGGATGATGCCAACAGACTTCTGGCACCATACCCACTACTGCATGTAGGGAGTGCCACAATGTAGCAGTGTTGCCTTTTTATAGAATGATTGAGACCGTTCTCTAAAACCATGAGGGACTGTGCTGTAACATTGTACCATATAACTAAGGATTACAGTCATCATACTGTATTCGGTGAGGCACTATAAATCCCTTCATGTGCATGATGGGAATTACACTCCAGGTTCTGCAGAAAGGTATTTGCAGGTGAAAATTGCTGCATATATTTCCTTCTGCAGTCTTTCTACCAGGAAATAACTTCCCATTTATTGCAGTCACTTGCTCATCCCAGGGATATTGAAATGACATTGCACACATACCTGCGCAGTGCTAATCACAGTGCTATGATTGGATGGATTTTTCAGCCGCTTCTTTGTTGCTGACAAGGCGGCATTTGGGGAAAACAGTCACAGGAAATGTTTCTTGTTACAATGCCTGGAGGACGGACCTGGTATTGCTGACCTTTTGACCTTAATTTGAGATTCACTTTGGATTCCCAGCAATCATCGCTTTTAGTAATTGTAGACTCGCATTTTCGGGGTTATTCAAGGGAATGATCACAAATGCACGGTCTGCATTCAGAGACTCTTGAGCAACGTCTTTACCGGAGTCACACACAGCCAGTCAGTGCTGGAGTATTGGGATATCGGTTGCACACACATCGGTTTATTTACGGAAATGAACTATTGCGATTTCAATTGAAACTTCAAATTAAGGGCAAAAATAGCTGAATTGAAGAAAGGAAAAAACGAACCATATCTCCTCCGAATGTGAAATTATCTTTGAATTCCTGGCAGATCTCTGTAAAGAGAGGCTGTAACCCTGGCAGGGGTATTTACTTCTGTTATAGGAAGTATCCCCTGTAGTTTGTGATCTGTCGCGTGCTTCATGTCTCTTGGTCTTTGATTGCCCTGCAGTTGTATGCTGGCCGTCAAGCTGTGGCTTGCTCCTGATTTAATGAATGTGTATCTTGGCTTTCAGGGACTAAGCACACTTTCTATTCAGTAGTTTCTGATGTTGCAGGTTTTTCGATGAGAACTTTCTCATGAAGGAGTCTTCACCAAGACTGTATTACCACATTCAGAAGTGATAAACGAGAAGCCTGGTTAAATGCTCAAATTCAGTGAATAATCCGATCAGACTAAAAACTGAATTTCAAATTAACGGGGGTAAATTCTCCAATTCAGCAGTTCTCATTTAATCTATTTCAACCAATTTAAAATTCGGTTTGAATTGCTGACATTTTATTCTTAAATAAATTCCACCCCTAATTTAATAATTTTCACTTGACAACCTTTTCAGATGCGCATATTTATTGGCTAGTGTGACGAACTGAGCCTAGTCACGTGTTCTTGGAGGGGCCTGTTTGCCAGCCTCCTGCCTCAGGACCATGCAAAAAGGCTCATAACATACCTTGTTCGTGCCTTTTTGCTATTCTGTTCAGTAGATTGCATTTCCCGCACGAACCTGGGACTACCCAGGAGCTTGTTAACACCTATTAACACCTTGGAACAGTTCTAATTGTTTGTCTGGGTGGCTGCAATTCCTATGGACAACCACGAGGTGGCGGCCATCTTGTTTGCATGAACGCAGGCAGCACGGTTTGGGCATGAATCTCATGGAACTAAAATCAGACACAGAAACTCCTGAACACCGCTGGACTTCCATCATCGCCTGCGTTTTTGGTTGTATACAATTTTTAGAAGGGCAATGTTAGGTGAAATCAATCGTCTGGATGAGGGGAACAAGCTCCAGGGTAAAAACATTGATTGTGTTCGGTAGTTTATTCATTTTCTAAACTACCGAACTCAGGGCCATCATGGGATGTAACTTTTGTGTGTGTGTGTGTGTGTGTGTGTGTGTGTGTGTGTGTGTGTGTGTGTGTGTGTGATTCAGTTCAGTATAATGCTTGACTCCATTATCTCACAGGCATAGGGGAGGGATTGACCTATTTTGTATGGGAGTGTCCTGGTCCTGAGAGCCAATGTGATTGTGTATTTGTTTGTACTGTGGTTTACTCTCAGGTCCAGGGGGTAATGCCCCTTGCATGGGGACTGTCATAAAAGGCAAGTTGTGGCTACCATTAACCCCTTAAGGACCAACGTTCTGGAATAAAAGGGAATCATGACATGTCACACATGTCATGTGTCCTTAAGGGGTTAAAAGATATTTGTTTACCCTTCATGTAAGTCTAGGCTCATGTTTGGTGGATTGGAGAGCTATATTCACTCTGGGGATTGCTATCATCACTATACTCCCTTGGAGCACAGCGATTGCTCTTGTAAGAGCAGTCTGCTTCGCTCTCTGGACTAGGAGAGGTCTACCCACTGAAAGCTGAATCCTGGCCTTGGGTCTAAAGTGGGTGGAGGACAGAGACCCCAACCAAGCTGCGCCAGTTTGTGGGGTTTACAGTGGTTTTGGTGTCTGGTGCGGTGCTTATGGTATTCAAGGATTACTAGGAAGAAGCAATTGACAGAGGCTCCCGGTCGGGGTGCCAGGTGGTCCATCACAGCTAGTACTTGGCTTCTTCTCAGACTACCTGCGTTCATCATTTTTGTCTGTAAAATTACTCTGTGATTTGAAATCAACCTGCACCATCTATAATTTTACTAAAGAGACCACCCTGCTCTATACCTTGTCACCTGATGTTCTAGGCTCCTTTCTGTGGATGACACAGACACACCCTCCAGTTGGAGAAACCTGTTCCAATAATATAATTTAATATGTGCTTACAGCTGAATGCTAATGGTTATGAAGATGGGATAAAGAATAATTTGTAAATTCAACCACATAAAAAGGTTAATTAGAATACATTGCTGAAACTATTGTAGCATATTTAAGCTAAAAATGTTTGTGGTTTTTATTTATTTTAATTTATTTTTACTTCCTTCCAGATTGGTTTTCTTATTTAAAAAATTTTTTTTTTTTTAAAATGGCATTATTTGGAATAGGAGTCTGTAGTAGATGACGATTAGCATTTAAGCCATATAATTCCATTTGCATCTTAGACAATTAGGCCTGACATTCTGGGCATTGGTGCTTGTATGGCAGGGTGAATCTTGGACCTGTGATTTGAAAGTTGGGATGGTTAAAGTAATATAGTTGGGATTATAGGTTTGTATTCCTTGCGCTTTCGTGTCCATGGCTATAGAGATTTGTCCCGAATGCCACCACCTGCAACATTATGGCGGCATGGCCAATCTAATGCTCCTCGTAGATTAGCATCAGGGTCTGGTTGCAAATGCGTATTGGGTGCAATACACCCCTAAGCTTTCCCGAAGAGAAGCAGTAAATACTTTCCAATGAAGGTTGAAACATTGTGTGACAGTTGTATTGTCATTACAGTGGAAATGCCTCAAATGTCTGTGTAACGGCCACTGCAGGTATGTTTAACCTTTCAAGGTACACATTGTAGTTCCTGCAAAACAGCAATGTTCTTTTACCATGAAAGGATAAAATGACAGCATTAATGCACAAAGGCAACTTCATTAAGCATACCGTTGTAGAGAGTTGTTGCAAACTATATAAATAAAACTCTAGAAATAACAGAATTTAGTGAGATGAAGACCGACCATACCATACCCTGCAAGGATGATGTGGTGGTAAAGTGCTTGGAATCTCCTCTTTAAATATTGTGTAATCTGACTCCCACTATGAAAAAGCTAGCTTTTAACCTTTATCACATAAATAGAATCTCTATGAAACTATGCTTGGTTGTCCTACATTCACCAAGGGGTTGTAAACTTTAGACCAAATAACCCAACTGGAATATTATGCTCCCTTAGGCTCCCTTTGGGTTTAAATTTAAGTTTTTGGTTTAGGGAATAATCCTGGCAGCTTAATATTAAATTGGTCAATTGTAATAAAAAAAACTGGAGAAATGTAAACAAAATATCTAGCTGATCTGCAAAAACTCTCCTACAATACAAAATGTAGATGGAAATAGCCAATCAGTGACACAAGCATGTGTTCAGTTCACTGTTGAGTCAATAAACCCAGGTCTCATGAAAATATCTGCTTCCTTTTCTAGGTTCGGTCCTTTCTCACATTCAGAGACGAAAGCACTTTAATGAGAGGGAGGCTAGTAAAGTAGTAAAGGACATTGCATCTGCTCTTGATTTTCTTCATACAAAAGGTAAGTAAAAAGTGAGTCACAGCCGTATATCAGGGGTGGGAGATCTATAAGATCAGAACTGTCTTCTCCGTGATGCTTTGCACTACTACACAGTCTAGACTGTGCTCCCCACGACTCGTCTTTCCTTTGTGTAAAACCATTTTATTTCTAACTATAAAGGTCATGTGTGAGAAGGTAATAGTTTAGTTTTAAGTTCCTTGCATTTAACCGTAAACATTTCAAGTTTTCTAATTTTTTTTTTTTTCTCCCAACCACTAAATCAGGTATAGCTCATCGAGACTTAAAACCAGAAAATATTTTATGTGAATTCGAAGATAAGGTGAACTTCTATTTTTATTTTAGTAACATATTTAGTTTTTGTGCTGAACCCTATTTACAGTCTCCTCTTTGTCACAGCTGTCACCAGTGAAAATTTGTGACTTTGACCTCGGCAGTGGTGTTAAACTAAACAGCGCGTGCACCCCCATAACAACACCAGAGTTAACGACTCCAGTAAGTTCTAATATTTTATTTTCTCTTTTTTTGTTTTGTGTGGATTCTGTCTTTCAATTATAGTACAACTCCCTGTCAATGGCTTTGCTCCTGACTCCTTCAGCGATGAGCTCACGAATGCATGACTCTTTCGTCCCACAATGCATTGTGTGGTGATGGATGTGCATGCTCACAATATGGTGGCAATATTTGTAGGGGAGGAAGTGGTTTGAGACTCCTTTATTGTAGAGCAAAACATTTATTTAAAATATGAGTCTTGCAAGGACACATTCAGATTTAATGGCCAACAGACGTTTTATAGAACCTTAATTTAATCAACTTCTGAAAGGAAATATATTTAATTACAATAAAAAATAAATCAAAACTTGTTAAAGCAAACAAAAACCCCTCATCCCTACCTTTATGGAACAGGATCCTTCAGTCCTATACATACACCTTGGGTCAGGGTTTGAAAACAGTCTCTATGGTCTTCCCTTTTTTTTTGTGCCGGAAGTAAAACTTGGAAGATCAGAGACTTGCTCTTTTCAAACATACGTATATAGCTGAAAGATCCTATCATGCATTAAAAGAAGGGATGTATTTTCTCAATTTTTATTCATTAACCTTGTTTAAAAACTATTTCCTTTAATAATTTGATGAAATTCTTATACTAAAAATGGTTTTGAGTGACCATTCTTCTTTTTAAATGTAGTCTTCAGTTTTTATTTCCTAAAATTAATTTGTCAACAAACCCCTCTAATGTGCACTCAGTTCTTCTGTTTGCTTAAATACTTGACCATTCAACTTGAAATTAAGATTTTAAATATGTTCTTGTTCAGCTGTGAGATACACAAAATTCCACAAGCCTGTTCAAATTGCAATCAAATTAAACAGAATATTCTAAATAAAAAGGCAGCATGTGTGATGAATTTGCCTTTCTAAAGCAAATGTGTTCCCATAAGCTTCATTCTACTTGCAGTATTAAAGAAGACGGGGGAAAAAAAATCTGAATGTCTTGACCTTTTGCATACTTGATATCTGCTCTTATATCGCTTAACCTCATGAAAGCCACATGTGGGGGGAGTTTAGTTTTTTTTAATTTTAATTATGGCGTTTGTAAAGATCACCAGATTAATTCATTAAATGTGTCAAAGTAAATATACAGTGTTTAACAGCCAGTTCATAAATTAAGCATGTAAGGTTCAATGTTGGCTTGATGACCAGTCTGTAATCTGCCTTCCATTACCTCTGTACAGTGTGGCTCAGCAGAATATATGGCCCCAGAGGTGGTAGAGGTTTTCACAGATGAAGCAAACTTCTATGACAAGCGATGTGATCTCTGGAGCCTGGGCGTTATTCTGTATATAATGCTGAGTGGGTACCCTCCCTTTGTGGGCAACTGTGGCACAGACTGCGGCTGGGACCGAGGGGAAGTTTGCAGAGTGTGTCAGGTAGTTACAGCCTTGCTTTACTTGTCATTAAATGGTTAGCATTTCTCACTCCTACCTAGAAATCACAAATTCTCAATATCTACATGTACACAGCTTACCAGTACAAGAGGAAAATTGTCAGCACTACATGATAAAACAAAAATGTAATGATTATACGCTGATACATTATGGTCTTGTGTTACTTGGACTTGTTTTGTACAATTGATACCAATCAGTCACTTCAGTGGTGAATTTGGAAGGAAAAATGGGGGTACAAGGGATTTGTTTTCTAGCTTAATATAGTTCTTCCTTTACAATCTACTTGTCCAGACAGACCATAAAATAACATGTAAACATGGAGGCTGTGAGGTTGGTACACAAAACATTAGCTGACTCCTCCATTTATTGTAATCAACTCCAATAACCTAAACTTGCTGCTGTCTCAGGCTCCACAGCACTGTAAGGAAGCTTTGTATGTATGTAAATGTTGAGTGCATGTATGGGGTATGCTTCTTGTGTGGGTTGCTGTGTCTGTGGAGGTTGAAAACGCATACATAGTGCAGGTGCTGGGATCTTGTCTGCAGCAACGCTTAAAGGAGGAAAAAACCTAGCGTCCGCATCTGCTCTAACCTCCCACTGCTGTCCTATAGGAAAGCATTGGATCGGCTGAGATCCTCCTTATTATCTTAGCCAGCAGAGGAGTGCTCGGAGAAACACATTAAATAGTATTTCTAAATTACGCCTACATCACTCTAAACGTTTGTGTCCCAAACATTTGTGTACCTGTTAACATTTTAAGGACCCTTGGCCCACATTTTGTTCTTGTCCCCCTCCCATTTGAGAGGTCTTCAATCACTGCAACAGGCGGTTTCATTGTCAGATGTTCAGCTAAAGTGACATTTATCCAAATAGCCGTTGGAGTGTTGTACACATACAGTCGCTCCTGGGTTTCTATTTTAGTACAACAATTACATTGCCATCTGGGTTGCAATAATTAACAGATGCTTCACTGCTGATAAACCAGCAGTGAGGTCAGTGGCAATCAATGCAAGGGTTGAAATAACCACTAGTCTGCAAAGTGTTAAATATCTAATAATTGAAGAAATGGGTTAGAGGGTCAGATGGTAAATAAATCATGCTAGTCTTTAACAACAAGTAACCTTGACTGAGCCACCAATTATATTTTGGTTCTAAACTGGAAAATTAATAAATAAAATCGGTTACAACATATAACCACAGACAAACTGTTTACAACTATTGTGTACATTTAAGATTCTGTAAGATTATTTTTATTTTTTTTAAAACACTTGCCTGATATTGGGTGCTCGTAATGCTATCATAGCAGTCTGTAACATTAAAAAACCTGTTCCAGTGATTACCTGCAGTCACCATTTCAATATTCTATTTTATCTTTCTTTAGTGGTGCTTGTGATGTCCGTTTACATTTAATGAAATAAAACCTTTTTACTAAAGCGCAAGCATATTGACCTTGATAGAAAGACAGGAAAGAAGGCGTATACCGCGCCTAGTAATTTATATATGCTGAAAATACATATATATCCTTGAATATTCCAATCAATCGCAACCTCCTGAGAAAATTAAGATGAGAAATAGTGCAATACATTAAATTATATCTTAAAAACAGTCAATTATGGCTATGTACAGTCCACTCACATTTGAATGAGCTATAACAGAGCTCTGCTGTGAAGCGCTTGGATATATCATCATTCTGTTTTATTTTATATGCTGATCGCTGCCCAAATCAAATATGGCCACCAAGCCATAATTACATCACTATGCCCATACTCTTTCATTGGGTATTGGAGCGGGTGGCGCTCGGAACGCTACGCACGCCATATATTGGTGCTGCCTGCGTCCCAATGCGCCAGAATATTGTATTCATTCTCAATTTTGTTGCCGTGGCCATTTCCGGTCTGATGCGAGCACTGCGTCATTTCCGGTATGACGCGTGCGTGTCAACACCAAGCCGGAACCAGGAAGTAAACACACCAGGAAATCATCATTTCATCAACCAGGATATAAAAATGGACTTTTGGACATTATACCACACTTCTGAAGAAGCCTATTAGGCGGAATGCGTTAAGTGGGACTTTACCATATATATTTTATCCTTTATTAATCTGTCTAATTATATTAAAGTATACTTTTTAAGTTACTTTTTATAATTTTTTTTTTTTTTTTTTTTAATTCCTGGATCCTGTATATCCTTGGTGGGGATTATACCACCCAAGCTGTTTATACTGGAGCAAGTTATATGCTCTAGAAAGTGTAAGTACAATACTTTTTATTATTCATTATATTATTAGTACTTCACCATATTGCTACTATCTCTCCTTTATATCTACTATGCACATTGCACTTTGAGAACATCCGTGGCAACTACTACAAATCCAAAGACGGGGATTGTACCGTCCAAGCGCTTCACAGCAGAGCTCTGTTATAGCTCATTCAAATGCGAGTGGACTGTACATAGCCATAATTGACTGTTTTTTAAGATATAATTTACTGTATTGCACTATTCTTAATTTTCTCTGAGGTTGCGATTGATTGGAATATTCAAGGATATATGTATGTATTTTCTGCATATATAAATTACTAGGCGCGGTATACGCCTTCTTTCCTGTCTTTCTATTATTGAGAGGTCTTCAATCACTGCAACAGGCGGTTTCATTGTCAGATGTTCAGCTAAAGTGACATTTATCCAAATAGCCGTTGGAGTGTTGTACACATACAGTCGCTCCTGGGTTTCTATTTTAGTACAACAATTACATTGCCATCTGGGTTGCAATAATTAACAGATGCTTCACTGCTGATAAACCAGCAGTGAGGTCAGTGGCAATCAATGCAAGGGTTGAAATAACCACTAGTCTGCAAAGTGTTAAATATCTAATAATTGAAGAAATGGGTTAGAGGGTCAGATGGTAAATAAATCATGCTAGTCTTTAACAACAAGTAACCTTGACTGAGCCACCAATTATATTTTGGTTCTAAACTGGAAAATTAATAAATAAAATCGGTTACAACATATAACCACAGACAAACTGTTTACAACTATTGTGTACATTTAAGATTCTGTAAGATTATTTTTATTTTTTTTAAAACACTTGCCTGATATTGGGTGCTCGTAATGCTATCATAGCAGTCTGTAACATTAAAAAACCTGTTCCAGTGATTACCTGCAGTCACCATTTCAATATTCTATTTTATCTTTCTTTAGTGGTGCTTGTGATGTCCGTTTACATTTAATGAAATAAAACCTTTTTACTAAAGCGCAAGCATATTGACCTTGATAGAAAGACAGGAAAGAAGGCGTATACCGCGCCTAGTAATTTATATATGCTGAAAATACATATATATCCTTGAATATTCCAATCAATCGCAACCTCTGAGAAAATTAAGATGAGAAATAGTGCAATACATTAAATTATATCTTAAAAACAGTCAATTATGGCTATGTACAGTCCACTCACATTTGAATGAGCTATAACAGAGCTCTGCTGTGAAGCGCTTGGATATATCATCATTCTGTTTTATTTTATATGCTGATCGCTGCCCAAATCAAATATGGCCACCAAGCCATAATTACATCACTATGCCCATACTCTTTCATTGGGTATTGGAGCGGGTGGCGCTCGGAACGCTACGCACGCCATATATTGGTGCTGCCTGCGTCCCAATGCGCCAGAATATTGTATTCATTCTCAATTTTGTTGCCGTGGCCATTTCCGGTCTGATGCGAGCACTGCGTCATTTCCGGTATGACGCGTGCGTGTCAACACCAAGCCGGAACCAGGAAGTAAACACACCAGGAAATCATCATTTCATCAACCAGGATATAAAAATGGACTTTTGGACATTATACCACACTTCTGAAGAAGCCTATTAGGCGGAATGCGTTAAGTGGGACTTTACCATATATATTTTATCCTTTATTAATCTGTCTAATTATATTAAAGTATACTTTTTAAGTTACTTTTTATAATTTTTTTTTTTTTTTTTTTTAATTCCTGGATCCTGTATATCCTTGGTGGGGATTATACCACCCAAGCTGTTTATACTGGAGCAAGTTATATGCTCTAGAAAGTGTAAGTACAATACTTTTTATTATTCATTATATTATTAGTACTTCACCATATTGCTACTATCTCTCCTTTATATCTACTATGCACATTGCACTTTGAGAACATCCGTGGCAACTACTACAAATCCAAAGACGGGGATTGTACCGTCCAAGCGCTTCACAGCAGAGCTCTGTTATAGCTCATTCAAATGCGAGTGGACTGTACATAGCCATAATTGACTGTTTTTTAAGATATAATTTACTGTATTGCACTATTCTTAATTTTCTCTGAGGTTGCGATTGATTGGAATATTCAAGGATATATGTATGTATTTTCTGCATATATAAATTACTAGGCGCGGTATACGCCTTCTTTCCTGTCTTTCTATTATTCATTTACAAGGTTGGGGAAATCCTTGTTTTGTATACTGCTGCTTGATCACTATAGCGAGCGCCTATTATTCTCTTTTCATATTGACCTTGATGACCAAATGTGACATTTAAGTATCTGTGTCTGAGTTCTATCTACCCAAGGGCCATGTACTGCACTAACCTATACATTAGACTTGTGCTTTAATGCATTTTCAGCTGGTATGAACAAATCAAATTCCTTTTAATCTACTCCCGAATTAATCCATGCGTTCAGGATTTACATGTGAACTCTTATTCATGGACTAAGAAGCCCTGGTTTAATTCCAGATGGATTAGCTTGTTCTGATGTAGATCAAGGAATTTTATTAATTTGTACCAGTTGAAAAGCATTAATGTGCAAATCTAGTTACTGTTCTGGTATGACTGCTTATTGTTGTATTGCCCATATGGCTTGTGCATGGGTTAGCCATTTAGAGATGCAGTATTTGTAATGACTTGACTGTTTTTTGCATCAAAGGACCAAATTTGATCCGGTGTTTGCAAAATAAAATGGCATCTCAAATCTGTCTTTACTAAATATATAAATTACATAAAGGTCAAATTCAGTGATTTCAGCCAAATGAGCATGTCTGATTTGGTACCAGCCAAGGCATGACTGTTAAAATCCAAGAGAATTAAGAGGATTCTTGTATTTATCAAAAACAAAATTGGGATGTAGGAAGCAATTTCACAATACTTACCTGCTGTATCCAGGCTAACCTACAAAAACCAAGAAGTCTGCTATATCTGTCCACTGGCTGCACAATTCACAGTGCAACATCCCATACATTCGTGCTATCACTTGTTTTCGCTTTCTGCAACTTTTTTTTTTTCTCTTAAGTTGTGTGATCATTCAGTGGAATTTTTTATCCCCTCCCTTAACCTGCATTGTAAATGTGTTTTTTGGATTTTTTTTTTTTTTTACATGTTAATAGAATAAGCTTTTTGAAAGCATTCAAGAAGGCAAATATGAGTTTCCAGAAAAGGATTGGTCACACATTTCCTGCCAAGCTAAAGATTTAATATCAAAACTATTGGTCCGAGACGCCAAGGAACGCTTGAGTGCTGCTCAAGTTCTCCACCACCCGTGGCTGCAAGGGGTAAGTGTATAGTGCTTATGAAATGTGTTCATTGGGAAATAGAGATCTAATGGAGATTGTAAACCTTTTTATTTCTCATGCATCATTTGGCTCTGTCACTTAAATATCAGAATTTATTTTGGGAGGGGTGGTTCCACTTTGCTTCCAATTCCTGTTGATTTGCATCCCCACAGTTTAAAGGAACACTATAAAGTACTGCTCTGTAGTAGTGGTGGTGCTAGGATTTCATTTCTTATAAGTATTACTTTACTGAGAGGGTGGTAGAATGAATGAATGGAATAACCTTCCAGCTGAAGTGGTAGAGGTTACCACAGTGAATGAGTTTAAGCTTGTGTAGGATAGTTAAAAGGCTATCCTAACTGTAAGATAAGGCCAGGGTCTAATTAAAAATATTTAGAAAATTGGCAGACTAGAGGGGCCGAATGGTTCTTATCTGCTGTCACATTCTATGTAAGTAGTACAACCAGGTTTGTGTGGTTTTTTTTTTGTGGTTTTTTTCCTGTTCTAATTGACAACGTAAATGGGGGATGCCAGGACATTCTTGGCACCAAAACCACTATAGCAAGCGGTGTTTGGAGTGTTTTAATGAATAACTATAATTGGGTATTTCACTTGATTTTCTTTAAAAAAAGAAATGCTGCATGTCCAGAAAGTGTCTTGGTTTCAAAAAGTGTATATCTCTTGGCATATTTTTAACTAAAATAATGTATAGCTTCAGTGCTAATTTTGTGGAATTCTGGGCATTATGTATTTGTCTTTCTCCTCTTACCAGAGCTCAATCTGGTTTGTAATAAGCCCTTGTCTCATAAAGTATGTATTGCACAATGCAAACTGTATTTTGTTTCTGTACAGTCTGTCCTCTAGATTGTAAATATAATTGTATTCTACCCACATTATGGAATACCTCATGCAATATTTGCTTGAGTGGCAAGACCTTAAATAAATTCTTAAAATAGTGTGAATATTGCCCTATACAGCAAGCCAGGTATTTGCAGCAATATATGCTCTTATAAATGAATTCTTAACTATGGATTGAAAGGTTCCATAATATAGAAATTTCCTGATCTTCACGGCTTTATGTTCAGTATTGATGATCATCTTATGGCTGAACATGGGGTATATGAACTACTCTTTGCAATCCCACTAGTATGACTATCCTATCTCTCTCTGCTTTGTTTCCCATCAACTCATGCCCCAACATCTCGACCTCCGTGCAGCCGCATGCGATGGCTTTGGGTAGTCTGGTGCTTCCTAATGGACTTGGCTTCCAGCCTGCTCCTCAGGGCACACAATGTTTTTTTAGCGATGCTAGTGATGTTTTGCTTATATTTGTTCTCATTCTGTTTTTAAGGATGCTCCAGAACATGGGTTGTCAACACCACTTCTGCTTCAAAGGTAATATTCATTAATTTTATATATTTTTATAGAACCTCTGGAACTACACTTTGTTCTCTAGTACAGGTTGTTTCAAATGTATCTCCTTTTAAGTTGCTAATAACACTATCTTTATTTTAAAACATTTTTTTAAACAACCCAGTAGGTTTCACAGATAGTATGTATTGCAACACATTTTTTCCTAACTTACTCTAGACAGGCATATTTTTGCTTCGGGATTAGGCACCGCTGTAAAGTAATGCCGTGTCTTTTTTACAGCTTTCTTTGGTCTATCACTATTTAAGAATATATATATATTTTGTAATAAAGTTTTACCACTATATGTATTGCTGACAATAAAGTAGTGGTGATTCATTGTCCTACAACAAATCAAAATGGGCTGTTAGGGAAGCATTACTATACTGGCAGTTCAATGTTTTAGCCAAGCATTATTGGGAGAGAACTGTATGTATGTATATATGTATAAATGTGTGTATGTATATGTATATGTATATATATATATTTTATATTATATTCAAGTGTTGCTTGCATTCATAATTCATGTTACTGGGATTCTGACTGGTCAGTCTCATATTAACCTCTAACAGGCACAGCAGTACGAAGGACCTGACCCTGTTTGCAGCTGAAGCCATTGCTTTGAACCGCCAGCTCTCTCAGCGTGACAGTGACCTGATTGAGGAACAAGTGGAGATCATTCATGCCATCTGCTCAATGAGGCTCTCTCCACCTTCCAAGTCGCGCCTCGCAAAGCGGAGAGCTCAGGCCCAGGCACGGAAAGGCAGTGGTCCTCAAACAGCCTAAGTGTCCAACGTCCAAACAAAACTTCACACATCTTCCATTAAGCGTTTAAAGGGACAGTAAAGTGGGAAAATTACTTTTTTAATTGCCGTATTAAAATTCTGGCTACTTTGACAAGACTGTTAACTATTTTTGGGATATTCATAGCATTAGGAAAAAACCCGATTTTACAAGATGCTAAAGTTATGTCTGTAGGTAATGAAACAATTTTCCAGGAGAAACAGCACTTATTCTTGGCAACTGAAGTTCATTGCCGTTTCATGGCGCAGGTTGCCAAGGCAAGAAATACTTCCAAGATAGAACATTGTCTCGAATAAAACCACCTGTGTGTAAATTTGATATTTCTGGCTATGCACTTTAGCATTGTGGGACTCAGAAATGTTCATAGATTATAAAATGAAACCACATTATGCTATCTCAAAAATCAAATTTAGTGGGCTTGTCAAATTAACACAATATTTGGATATGTCCATTAAGATAAGCTATTGTCTTTTCTGTTCCTTTAACTTTGTAGATATTGACAGGTAATCGTTAACTTGTCCTTTTGGCTGCTGAGGGGTTAATGCCTTGTGCATCCCCGCAGTTTTTTAAGTCACGTGCCACTTTATAATGGCACCTGTGTGTTTTTAAATTCTTGGATTCAGTGAATCTTATAAAAGATTTGCCGCTGCTTCCATTTTATTAACAAAGCAAACAAAAAATCTCCTTAAATAACTGTGACAATATAACTCTGACTGGTTATGTCCCTCAGAGCTCCTTATTTAACGTTAGAGCTTCCTCAGGTCTACGGGTTCTATCTGGTACAACAGAAACCTTGCACACCGTTCGAACACTAAGCTAAGACTTGCGTTTTTAGTTTAATCCTTAAGATCTTTGTGTATGAAAACTATTCTCCACCCCCTCCCCCCTTTTCATTATTTATTATTGAACAAAACTGTTCTTCCTTAAATCTGAATTGCACATCAGCCTGAAATGTTACTTTACCTTTCTTGCCAAAAATGTACTGTATTGTAAATGTTTAAGCATTGTTTAATTTTTCTTCTCATCTCAGAATATGTAAATGTGTTTATTTTTTTTAAAATTTTCTCAGAGTATTTTTTTACATGGGGAAAGAGTGGGAATCAAACAGGAATTTTATATATAGCTGCCTTGTCACTGTGCCTGAAGGGATGAGATGTATTGTGGGTATTTTTTTTATTTTTTTTTTCTTCTATTTTATATGAATGCAAAGATCTTGAAGGGAATGGAGTTGTTTTGTCAATGTTATTTAATATATGAAAATAAATGTACCACATCAAGTTTTACATAAGGCTCTATTTTTGAATTGTGAGCTTTTCTAACTGTGTACAAAACACTGTTTATGGGGAAACACGTCTCTGGTCAAAAGTATTTCATGACACACACAACCAGGCAGAAAAAGTACTTTTACAAACTCTATAACATTAAATACTACTGCATTCTGCTAACACATAGATCTGAGTGCATATTATTAGCGAATAGCGCTCAGATCCCACACACACAGTTCAATCGCCATGGAGTCAAAGTTCTTAGTCTTTGGGTATGCGATTGACTCCATTGGAAGGCTATCTGGGTTAAGTCCTTTCGTGTGTTTCAAAACCCCCGAACGGCCGGTGTTCGTACGCTTTCGTGGAGGCAGCCAGGCGTTCCGTTGTTTCAGCGGTGTTCGGCAGAAAAAGTGTCCATTTTTAGTTCCATGAAAATAGAGCCGAACACCGCTGGGCTTTCGCGTGTTTTAAAATGGCCGCTGCCTCGTGGTCGACATACGAACGACGACCACCCTGAATTCGGTTTAATTGAGAAGTGTCTGCGGTTAACCACAACATTCTAATTGGGATCAATAGGTTAACCAGCAGCACACTTCTCTCCTGGGTGGCCATCCGTTCGGTAGTTTTGTTCGGGAAAAACAGTCATTCGTATGGCTGGGCTATAGGAAACAGCCATTTACACGAACGGGGCAGAAACAGACGAATCCACCACAATAAACAGACAGATGGTTCTGTCACAGTATTCAATGTCATTGTATGTGTATTTTGATATTAATATATATTTATAATATTAAAATACACTTAGTGTATGTGTATATGTGTGTGTATATATAAGAAATATGTAAATATAGTATATATGATCTAAGTATATATTTATTTGTACACTGTTTTAACATGTTTTAAATTTTTTTTCAGGCCGCATGGGGAGTACCTGTCATTACAGGCACTCCCCCTGCTGGCATTGCTATGGAGGGCTATGCCGTCCATGTGATCGTGAGGTCCTCGCAAGGACCTGTCGATCACATGGCCCAGGGGGGCCGAAGAGGAAGCAGGGGGACTCCCTGGGATCCCAGGTAAGTCCCCATACCGCGATCGCTGGCGACCGGGTAAGTAAAAAGGACGGTTAGGGCGTTCTATGCCGCCCTCCGGCGTTTAGAGCCGGTTCTCTAAGGACGGCATAGCACGTCCCCCGTCCTTAAGGGGTTAATATTTCACAGTATTTATTTTTATTTTTAAAAACCACGGACACCATTCTCTAGAGTTAGCCAAATTTTGGCACTCCAGATGTGGACTACATCTCCCTTAATGCTCTATCAGCCATAATGATAAAGCATCAGGGGAGTTGTCTCACATTACTAAGTATATATTGTGTATTTTGCACCCCCTCACTGTGTTTGTATCTATTTATATAGTGCGTTTGGAGTGATTTTTAGACACTGGGGGTTGTTGCAATTTCCTTTATCACTTAGCGCCAATCCACCTGTATTTTATCCAGCTCTTAGGTTAAATATCTTTTCTTGTTTTGTCTGCATACCCAATGCAGACAGCTCCTTACAGGCATCACCCAGGAAAGTATCAGATCATTGTTGTGATAACCTGTAGCAACGCTCCGATAATGGAGGAGTTGAGTTCCGGCCAAGTTCTCCCTCCTACCCCATTACTGGAGGGTTGGCAGGTGAAGTTCTTATCTCCCCACCGTGCAGTCCAGACAGGAGGAGACTGACAGCCTCGCTTGGCTCCTCAGAGGGGGAGTTTGCCCTGCCCACCCCCCTCTTTCCGAAATTGCCCCGAGTCTGGTCAATGTGAAGGTTTGGAAGACGGGATTGATGTCCTTTGTATTCATTCGGCTGTAGCACCTGGACTTGTATATTAATCTTACACCCTTTTGACAGGACTGGTAGTCTTAGAAAAGTAAGAGGGATTATAGAAGAGGATAGTGAAAGAGGAAGCTCCCTGGGTTAGTGGTTTTGTGGTGGTGAGCCTGTGTGGCTTGACTCTGGTACCTCTTTTGGTTACAAGTTCCAGGCCCGTAGTGTCTTCAAACCTTTTTTTTTTTTTGGAGATTGAAAGACGTGATCCATTGTGAGATTAGAAGTTCAGTGGGGTATCCCCTTTGTAAGTGATGTAGTTGTTATGGAGACCCTTGTAATAGGTAGGAATGTTCTCTGACTATGGTGTCTTTAGGGGCTATGTCATGGATTCACTTCGGTTTCTGCAGTCTCTGTGCCCTATCTAGCAGACAGTTTCTGCTCTGCCAGCGCGGAAAGATTGCTTGGAGACTGCAAAGGTAGGTAGCTTAGCAGCTGTGATATAGTTAGGGATACCCCTTATCCTGACATTCCTCCAGCCCTGTCCTTTCCTGTTTCTCCTGGTCTGCTTCCTATGTGGAGAATCGGTTGTTGAGCCACAGAGAGCTCCTCCTTGCGAGCTTCCAGATGGGATGACCTGTCGCCCAACTGCTTTATTTATTTAGGCAGGTCTGCAGTTATTCCTGTAAAATCATTTCCCTGGAGCGTGGCCCTATAGCCTGCCTAATCGATCCCAGTGACTTGAGTGACCGGTTTAGATATTGTTACTGGTATTGATTAGACGAAGACATATATAATTGTTATACACTAACCACATAATATTAAAGTACAGAGAATTTCTTTCCCCATACGTTCATCTGGGTCCTGCTGTAACTTTAGTGTGTCTGTATGAGTGTGTATATGTATCTGTAGACTGTAAAGGTTTCTGTGTATGAGTTTTGTTTCCTTATGACTGTGTCTGTCTTACTGTGTATGTGTCTGTGTACGTGAATTTGTTTGAATGTGTATGTGTCTGTATGTCTGTGTACTTGAGTTTGTTTGAATGTGTATGTGTCTGTATGTCTGTGTACTTGAGTTTGTTTGAATGTGTTTGTATGACTCTGAGGGATATTTAAGTGATGCTTACATTTGTCCGCTCTTGGCTGCGTTCCGGACATGCCCCCGTACTTATTACTTTTATGAATTGTTTTAGAACAATTTGGGAACATCGGAGGGCTTGCTGGTTCACTCAGCTTTCATGATTACTTATAGGTCAATGTTTCCCTGTGAGGAGCATGCTATTAGGCAATCTCCACATTTGATTGGCGCATGCACCATTTCTCCAGGAAGATGAGACTCGTCACGGTCTTCCCTGGAGGAGTGTGGACTATTTAAGTAGGCTCGACTAAGACGCTGGATAGATTTTTTTATTTTATTTTTTTGTTCTTTCTTGGTAGGCTGCGAAATAAACACTTCACTTACAGTGTCACCGCATTTCTAGCGTTTCTGGAACTCTGCTAATGCTATGCTTTGAGGGGTTTAAGTGTTGAGAAAGAAGGGCACATTTGTCGAATGCCAATCCTGATGGATTTCTGAGATGTGATTGGGACGTTCTAATATTTCCTGAAACAAGTGGGCTTTGCATTTTTGCATCCATGGAAACCTGTTGTCAAGGCAACTAATAGATGGTAGTTCTGGATGGGGATATTGGATTGTTGTGAGGTTGGTGATAGCCAGACATGATTTAGTATTTTAATTTTTTTTTTTTTCCTTTAATGATCCATTCTTGAATGTATGTAGCAGGCTGCTGGCTTCCTTTATAGAACCTGCAATATTTGCTACAGTACAGGCGAGAGCATATTATAGCTTAAAAGATTTGTGTGTTTATATGTATAAATATATAATCATACAGTGAACCATGTACTATGGGAAAGTAATTCTACATTGGGGTTCTGGAGACTTAACAATAAACCATGAGACTAATTATTCTGGAGACATTCATAGGAAAATAAACATTTAACCATAATTCTATTCACTTTTAAGTTGTTTCTGCAAGGGTTTCTTCACAAAGTGAAGTGTACTATAATGCAGTTTTATGATAACACTTAATATCTATAATGAAGTCCATCACTATAAATACAAACTACTTTCCATTTCCTTGCTAATTATATATAATTTGTCCTTAAAAGGTTACTGTAACCTTTCTTAAACCATATTTTCACCCCTTTTAACAGAGTTCCGAGCAACCTATTTCACGTGTGGCGGGGGATGTAACTAGCCCCCATCATACAAGTGCCAATATCCTTGTATTTCATATATAGACTCCAACCACTGGTCATGGTTAGGTTACCAGGTCCAACCTTCTTTTTTTTTTTTTTTTTTTAGGCAGACGTATAATTTTGTTATATTTATGAAAACGCATGAAAAGCTTAGCCCTGCAGCATGCATAATGCAATGTATTCTCTCTGTTGTACTTCCTTCTCAGCAGGCCAACCTTATCTCCGAACAGCATTAGGGAAATTAAGAATAAAAAAATTATCTGCAGAGCGGCATCGGTGAGATTAAGAAAAAAAAATAAAATGCTGATCTTGTGACTAAAGGCATACTGTGACTTGTATTGAGACTGCTCGTTAAATGAATACTGTGACGTATATTGTCACAGTATTCATTTGTGTACATTGGCAAACATATTACTATTAGTTTTCAGTCAGCAAGGCTGTCAATCGAACCCATGCTCTGAAATTGTGTTATTTAAATCAGACACAGTAGTCCAAACACTTGCTTTTACTACACCCAAGATTTTGGCATTATTTATTGCATGCTCCTAATGATTATATACATTAGAATCTATAAAAAAATGTCCTGTATTTATGTAGTCTTTTGATTGCATTTATATCATCTGAATTTGAATTGTTTAATTTGCAATTTCCACATTAATCCCGGACATCAGTCTTAACTCATGTGGGCCATTACAGGTGCAGCGGTAACATTTTATACTGGAAACCCATTTGAAATTCAAATTTTCAAATTCAAATCTGACGTTTGCTTCCCGTCTTTCTGTATTGTAACACGTCAATTAATCAATCTATAGATAAAATCATATTTGAATGAAATTGAACAGCTCATGATAGCTGAACTTTAAATAGTTCACGAATCCTGAATGTAATATGCCCTAACAGTAAAGAATTCTATCTTTTATTACAAAATGCAATATTTTACATGTTACATGTGTTTTATTTGTTAAGAAGCAGAAACTTTATTGGCAAAACGAATTGCATTAGACAATAAAGCTTGCAGTCTAATGTAATTCAGTGAGATAAGGGTCACGTTCTAACTGAATTACATTAGAGTGCAACATTTATTATCTAACTGGATAAATTAGAGTGCAAGTTTTATTTTGTTATATATTTTTATTGGTGGCATAGTCACAAAGATATATACATATTATTTTAACAAATTGATGATCTGTTATTTATTTGGAGAGCTGTCTCTTTGCTGTATTATATACTAGAGTTTGAGCTTCATGGACAAAATTGATTTCATTTTAATGCATGGTTAATTAGCAAAATTAACTAAATTAAACTGTGAGCTTTATTGGTGAATTGAATTACATTGCAGTGTGAGTTTTATTGACAAATTGAATTCCTTGTGTGGAAGATTTATTATATTTATCGATAACATTCGAATGTGAGCTTTATTGAAGAGGTGAATTACGTTCTGGAATATTTTAGCACGTAGAATAGATTAGACTCAATTTTATTATCATTGTACAGTGTATAAACAAAGACAATGAAACACAGTTGGCCTTTGATAAGAAATACAGTAGTGATTGATCAAAATACAATACAAGAGAGAATGTAACTCAGTAAAACTTAGTGACATAATACATGTTATATCTAAACAATATAATCCCTCAATCATTACATTAACAGCCTAGTAATGCATATAGGCATTGCACAATAGTGCCTCCAATATTATACAATACAACTATATAGCCTGACGCCTCCATCCAACTAAAACATCCAACCACATACATCACTTGCAAATAAAGTGCAAGATGTGAACATGTAGGCCATGTATGTAAAGTGCAGTGTGTGAACACGTAGGTAATGTGCAGAATGTAAACACGTAGGCCATGTGCGTAATGTGCAGAATGTGAACACGTAGGCCATGTGCGTAATGTGCAGAATGTGAACACGTAGGCCATGTGCGTAATGTGCAGAATGTGAACACGTAGGCCATGTGCGTTAAGTGCAAAATGTGACCACGGACGCCATGTGTGTAAAAGCGCAAGATGTGACCACGTAGGCCATGTGCGTAAAGTGCAAGGTGTGAATAAGTACGAGATAAGAACACATGGACCACATGCTTTAAGTGCAAAATGTAAACCCATCAATTGTGAATAAAAAAAAAAAAAGCAAATCGACCATGAGCATAAAGTGAAATCGTAAAACCCACGAGGAGCAAATTATAAACCAATATACAAATCTTGTATAAAACATAATTTACCTTTTGGGCAAGAAAATCACTCCAGCCAATTCAACAAATCCTGAGACCGTTATGTTTGTAAGATCTAACGTCTAAGCATAGAATTCAGAAACATCACTGCAGAGGAAACAAAATGATTCCCAAACCTACAGGTCTAGGAGTAATGGACTATTATAACGTTTCCCTGAAGGAAGACTAAACAAGTCTTAAATAAAAAGTACTTTTTACCTGATACGTCCGAGGTCACTAAGGGGTTAAGGAACATATTAGAAGAGTGGCCATTAAAGAAACACATATTATTCATATTCAAAACTGATCTGAACAAAATCATCCAGCTACTGGCAGGGCAAATCTGGCAAACATGAATACTGCACAATATTATTCTGTACTTCTTGCCTGTACATATGATATAAGCCAGTCTGAACAAACGACTCTAATAGTGCATTTTGTAACCGTAACATTTAAATATCCGAGAACATTTCTTGGGGTTCTTGGACATTCACATATTACAGTAACACCCAGTAGGAGAGTCACATTCAAGCAGTGAAGGCTATCCAAAACCAGAATGGGAACATTTATAATGCCATAACAGCAGTTATGGAGGATACTAGTTTAGCAGGGGTCAGCTCGTGGCAAGACACTGGCAGAAGGGAGAGGAATCCCAAGGAGGAAATGCAATTTAAAATTTCTGTGTGGTGTAGTCTTGTGGCATGATGAACTCTACCATGTAACCATCAAAACACAAAAGACTGGAACGGGTTAATATTGATATTTATGCAGAAGTTCAACAACTTGACATGACAATCATTTCCTGTCACAGTTTAGTAGATAGTGCCCAATATGCAGTTACAGACTTTAGTTGTTCAAAACGAAGTACAGACAAGGATAAGGCAGAGACAAAGTCAGACAGGCAAAAGGGTCGGTTCAGGCAGCGCAGGATAATAAACGTAGAATAAGTCAGAGGTCGGATATCGGATAAGCAGACAGGAACACGGAACAACTTGATAGGAGTATGGAGCACAGAATACCGAGCAAAGATAGGTCTGAGCAGGCTTATATAGGAAAGGGGATGGATCACATTTCACAGGTGTCCTACCTGTCTCCTGTGACCTCCTTCTAGAAAAAAAAACCTACTTCCGCCTAGAACATCCAGTCGGAGTGCGGATTCGGCTGATGCAGCTCGGAAGCCGTGGTCTCTGTCGGTGCATCGTGGAGAGCAGTGTAGGAGGTAAGTGTCTGATCCATGGTCGGGCAAATTTATCGGTCAGGTAAGAATTTGAACATGTTTTAAAAAGTGCACAGAAGATGGCAGAGGAACTTGACATAAGCTCGACATTTCCCCTTGCAGAAGTTTGGGCACATCACAAAGCAACCCATTTTAACTAGGAGGAGAGGATGAATAAACCAATGATACAAAACAAAAAATGATATTTTTTTTTGCCAGAATGAGAATTCTTTGCCAGGCAGGAGCTCTGGACAATTGCTGCCTCTTGAGTTTAGCTCCACTGAGCTATCCAAACCAGGAAGTAACAGGGCCGGTTGTGTGATTGACAGCCAGGGTTGTAACAAGGTTAATTCATAAAGTTATATTTTCTATTGACATCTGCTCTTTTTGTAAAATAAAAAAAGAAGACACACTCTTCACACATAAAGCACCGCCTTAGGAGTCTGGAGTGTTCCTTTAAGACAAAGAGAACCCTATTGGGTTAAATAATTGAATTGTTTTGATAGAATATAACGAATACAAGTTAATTTGCGTTTTTAGTAAATGCTATAATGTGAAATATTTTTAACTTTAGATATCGTTTGCATGAAGGACATTACAGGAAGCATCTTTATATCTTGTACTGGGATCTCATTATGGCCAGAGCTAAAGAATAAAATAATTTTAAAAAGCAGCGTAAAACAAATGTCTGATCCTGGTTTCTAAATGAAGGTTTTCGTGGCGCTAAATGAAAAAAAATATATATTATCTTTTAATATTATTTAATTTATATAAAATTGTTATCTTGTTTTTTTTCCCCATGTGATTTGCAATCTATAATTCAATATGTTCTTTAATTTAGGTACTCGACTTGGAATTGTCACTTCTCAGTATTTTCCATGTTCTGTTTACTTATCCCCTATAATCTGTCCAGGAACTGGCTGCCTCCATCTTAGATTCCCGTCAATTGTTTTTATAAACATTGACCTTTTTCTGAAATTGGAGATTGTGGAAGAGCCGCAACAATGTTTCTGTTGTCCGTTCATTTGCACTGTGTGTCCTGGCCGTGCTTAGACTGGACTGAATTGGATTGTGATGTCACTTTCTAAAATATTTAATATGTACTTTAAAAGGAAACAAAAAAAGAGTATCACAAGAATTAAACGGATTAAGTAACACTAGTTACAGGTGATTTACAATTGTTTATTGAAGGTTGTAATTTTAAGTGACAGAAGTGACAGTTCTACTTTAAACACTTTGCACGTTGAAACATTTTATGTCACATGATGGCACTATCGCATATGAAAAGCAGATGCACTTTGATGTATAAGGATGTCATTAAGGTTTATATATGTGTGTTGGGTTCCACCTACGGATACTCAGGATTATTCACTAAAGTGAGAATTTCAAATTTAAGATTAACATACCGGAACTGTAAATATGCAGCAATGCACTCGGTTTTGCTACTCTGGCCTTAAATTTGAAGCTCACTTTGGTTTTTTACTTAAAGTTTTCACTTTACTAACTAACCCTGTATGTAAATGCATATGGCACAATTGTAATTAGGTTTGAGAAAGGCCAGATCTGTGACCATAACATTATCTGTTTGTAGGCATCAAGAAGGGATCCCTATATCAGAGATTTGTGTAGAATTGTTTTATTTGGCTATTTATAATATCTTAATAAAATGTTTCATGGCTAGTTTACCTATACTAGTGATGATTCTGCAGATCTATGTGCACTACATTCCCCATAATGCTCAACTGTTTCTCATGATGCACAGTTGGCCTTTAGACTACAAAACATTTATTACTTCTATTGTCTTAGTTCCATCTTTTCCTTTCTATACCCCACCCTTTCCTAAATAACGCATACATGTCAACACCATGAATCGGTCTCCTGTGTTAGCAAAAGCTATGTGTGACAGAGACTTACATTACATTGCTACAATAGATTTTTAAAGGGACACTATAGTCACTATAACAGCTTATTGTATTTGTTGTGGTGAGTATAATCATAACCCTCTGGCATTTTGCAGTAAACACTGTATTTCTAGAGAAAATGCAGTGTTTACATTACAACCTAGTGATAACTCCACTGGCCAAAGATGGCTGCAAGAGGAACTTCCTGGGGCACTGCTGCTGTGTGAGCAGTACTGCTATTCAGTGTCTCCACCATCTCCGCATGCAGACACTGAACTTTCTTCAGAGATTCATTGATTCACTGTATCTCTATGAGGAGATGCTGATTGGCCAGGGCTGTGTTTGACCTGTGCTGGCACTGCCCCTGATCTGCCTCCTTGACAGTGTCAGACAATCCTATGGGGAACCAGACAGCAGGCAGCTCAGAGGCAGCAGCTGTAGACTTGAATACAAGTAAGATTTGATCATATTTAGGGAGGCAAGGGGGTGGGGGTCAGGAGGGCTAGATGATGGTTTTAACAATAGATGGTCAGGAATACATGTTTGTATTCCTTTAATGTTACACTGCTAGACCTATGTACCTAAAAGTTACTCTATATCATATATTTCCCTTCTCTTTTTTCTTATCCTTCTCCCATTTGATGAAAACTCAATAAAATTCAAATGTGAAAAAAATAAAAAAAATAATGTGAACTATGTTGTTCAACCAGCGTTTAGACTGATCTCCTGGTAAATATAGCATATCACTAATCCTTTAAAAATATGAAGCTATTTTACATTACTTTTGACCTTTTACATCTAACACATATTGCTATTTTTTGACCGTCCAGATGTAATCGGAACTTGCTAGCCTGAGAAGGAGGAAGTCTGATAAGAAGTTAAATATTTAAAGAGGATATGGGTTATTGCAGTGTACACAGGCGTTATTAAACGTGCATTATAGCCTATTATGACGCACATTCTAAACGAGCGCTACACTTGACATTTTCCCAGACATCTCTTCGTTTATATCGTACGGGTCAAGGTACAAAACTGTGGTATTAACAACTTAGAAGTTAATTTGCTGTGTAGTTGCTTGCTTTATATTAACCTTAAAGGGGAACCATCTCTTACCGTAATTTTTATTATTATGTTAACTTATCTTTATATTTAACAAATATGTATTTGTGTGCTGTGAAAAATAAAATTTATTATGGAAATCTACCTCTTTCTCCTGCAACTGTGCGTCTCTATCTTAGCTACCAGTTTTTTTTTTTTTGTTATAAACTCTGTCCTAGACTATGAAAAAGGTTAAACACAAATTATATATGATGGAACAGTGTAAATGCCAGAGAAGTGACAGTTTCAAAACATGATAACCAATTTACATAGGACAAATCAACGAATGAAAATAAATTATGTAAAAATGCTAAATATTTTCTCAGTGTTGACATCACAAATTGATGTTTTTTTTTTTATATAATTCTTTATTTTAGGAGTGCAGAGATAATTTCAGGCATGAACAAAGACTTGTACATTACAATATTTCACGGGAAACAGTATAAGCATAGGAAGTCAAGAGATGCTGCACTTTTTTTTTTTTGGTTAGAGCAAGATCGTTACATTAGTAATACAAGAAATGCTACAGTGGTGGTATTCAATGTATATAACAGTTGATTGTCATACTAAGCTATGATATGTAGAGTTTAATCTTTTGATATATATAAGCATGCTTAGTGATTTAGGTCATTCTTTAGGCTAACCAGGATTAATATTAAGTATAGCTCGACGCTAGTGAGAGTAGATAGGTCATATACTATGTTTTGTGTAATGGCGTTGCATATCCAGGATTACTCCCAGGTTGCTCACCCGAGAAGACAGGAGACATGTTACAAGTACAGGCAGAGTGGGGGAACACATAATTAACACTATGGATTAAAACTATTCTGTTGCAAGTTATGCATGAGTGAAGGTTGGTTAACGATGTCTGCATTTTTAGGGTGCCATTAATGCTAGCTATTTTGTGTGTTAAAATAAAAAGATTTATGCGGTAAGCTATATTCAAAGGCTCAGTATATAAACTTAAACATGTTAAGGCCAGGCAGCAATCTACAGGTATAATATCACCCTGGCTGATCAAAAGTTCGTAAGTCTGCACACACTTCAGGAACCGTCGGCATGGTGGGTCCGATGCTTCGTCGGTGGTAGTGGACATATGGTCGGCCAATGCCTGTTCCAGCATGTCGGCGTGACCCAATGTTAGTGTCATTTTAGGCTGAGGTTCTAGCGATGTCTCTCCAGGTGCATCACTTGAGCTTGCCTCTGTTGGGAATCGGGAGGAGAGTGTTCTCCGAGATGAACAGTGGGTGTTGCATATTCTGGCGTGTCACTGTGTGGCCCTCTTCGCTCGGCGGCAGGGTCGTGAGTGTGGAGCGGAGTCCCGGCATACTGGTGCATCCGCCGCTTTAGGTCCGGTAGGCCTACGCTGCTGCTCGCCTTTCTCGTGGCTAGTTGCTTGTACAGGTAGGAAATCGCTTGGTGAGCTTTGATGAAGTGGAGCTGCCAACTCCTCTGGCCCCCTGGGCCCGTGCCTGTTTGTTTCACTGGGTGTTCTGAGCTCCGCTGTTATGCGTTCCCTTCTGCTGACTTCGGCGCACGTGGAAGCCGCCATCTTATGTGATGCGGTCGGGCCCTTGAGTGTGAAGGCGGCGCCCCTGCGCTCCGGTTGCCATGCCTCCAGGTGAGGACCGGGATCACCCCCCCCCCGGCCCATAGGGGGGGGGACAGGGCCGGGTCCGCCCAGGTTCGAGCCCCAGGCTGGGCGCTGTGAGGCAGGATAGTGGTGCGGCGGCCGTCCGCCCCACTCACCGCCGAAGAAGGCCCCAGTTGGGACATCAAAGTTTTCTCCTCCAGGGGACTGCAGCTTGGTAAGCCAGCCTCTCCCTGGCTCCAGCAGGCCTTCTGCTTTGGGCCCTGTAGCTGTCGGTCAGCTTTTTGGTGAAAGATATGTTTTTTTTTGTCATATTTGGTGCTGTGTAGCAGGAGCTTCTTTTGCCTGCGACCGTCCAGCTCGGCGGTCCGGCCCCGCCCCCCCCCACAAATTGATGTTTTTTTCAATACCGCTGGTCGGTTACCTGTTGCTGCACAGGTAGGTAGGGATTGATATTGAATATTTATTAGTGACATAGTGGGGAATAAGAATGAAACTTTAAGATTTATTATCATTTATCTAGTGCCAACATATTGTATAGTGCGTTACAATTCTAGAAAGAGGATATTTTGAGGTGGAGAATGCCCTGCTCAAACAAGCTTGCAATCTATGCGGATTTGAGGTAGGTTGGTGTAGATCGTTGGGTATCTTGGCCAAGTACACTTACTGGAGTCGGAGGAAGGTTTCCCGGTTCTAAGGCATTGATGCTACCGAGCTCTAACCAGCCAATATTGTTTGAGATCAAAATGCACTTTTATGTAAACTAAGCTACTCTTAGGTTGTGAGTTTTGAGGCTCGAGTTTCAGAAAAGTTCTAAACTGATAACTGTGTGTTTGCCTAGCTGCAAGCTGTGTGCTGTTTTTTAGTGGAGAAAATCTTGTAGTTACTCATTAACTCTTTGTGTGATGTTCAAAGAGGTGCAGGCCGGGTGCTGGTTTGAATATTTTAAAGGCGACAAAGCTTGCAATTAAAAGGTTAAAACAGTCTCCTTATGTAAGGTTTACACGATATTGTATTAAAGATGTTGGGACATTTGTACTGTGTTATTTTTTCCTCCCTGATGTGCATTATCAGTCTCCACTTGAATGCATTTATTTAGCTTACACAGGAGCTTGTTAATGTACTAAAGGCTGACCGACTATTGTATATCAAAGAGCATTACATGACTTGATAATTAGTAGTGAAAAGGTTTAAAGTAGCATTTTAGGCTGGAACAGATACATTTGTTTGTACATGATGCACATACATAACAATAAAATTCTGCAAAAATAAGTATATGAAAATAAAATAATAAGAACTAATTTGATATTCCTGACTTTGCTGTAAATTGCCCGGCTTTGCTTCTTCTGCAGTGTGGGATTTAGCTTACTTACCTTTCTATAGTATTACAGAGATTACCCCAGAAGTAGTCCTTTACGGACACAGCCAGACCTTGTTTCCGTTGTAATTAAACTGTAGTACAAGCTGAAAGTAAAAACTGCCATTGAATTATATCATTATTTAAAGTAAAAGTTTACTAACATAATAGCCTCTGCTTGCATGTTTGTCTACTGCATACACGGAGGTAAATGCCTTATTCCAATGCATCTCTGGGCTTACCTTTGCTACATGGTGTTTGCCATCTTTATATAATCTTTTGTCAGGCGCACTGCTCGCCCAGTCAAAGATTGTGCAGGTAATTAGGAGTTAATGCATTCACAAGTCCTGATGTGATGTTCAGGCGTGACTAGGCGTCACAAAACGCGCTCTGATTTGACGCAGGACACTCACATTGTACGTGGACTTGGCAGATAGGTATAGCCTCCACCCAACGAAGATTCACAGATACCCCACCCCAGAGCAAGCTTAAAAATATGCATTTATTTATAAGTGTGTATTGCAAAATCAGACACAGTCTTTCTTACTGAAAATAAAATATTACACGTAATAAACAGCGAGGCAATTTTCCTGATTCTGTGTACAGCAATATATATCGAGCAAAAAAAATAATGTCAGGCTTGGAGCAAGAAGCACAAAGGGCTAACAGAGCAAAATTATTATTATTATAATAATTTTTTTTGTCAGATTGCCCAGTGCATGGGACAGATATTTATTTATTTATTTTTGTAAATTTTTCTTATTACTCAATCAGAGAGCATTACAGCAAGATTGTCAAGCATGGTAGCAAATGTTAATATAAAACACATCACATACTGTAGTAAAATCAACCCCGTAAGAACACACCCTGCACAGGGTAAGAAAACTAGAAAACAGAGATGCTTAGTACAGGGACAGCAAGCTTAAATGACCACTATAGTCACCCAGACCACTTCAGCTCAATGAAGTGGTCTGGGTACCAGGTCCGCCAGGTTTTAACCCTTCAGATGTAAACATAGCAGTTTCAGAGATGCCTCCCTAAATATGATCAAATCTTACTTGTATTCAGTCTGCAGCTGCTGCCTCTTATCTGCCTGCTGTCTGCCGACATCATCAGAAATGATTATGTGAGCCAATCACAATGGTTCCTCATAGGATTGGCTGAGACCGTCAAGGAGGCAGAAACTGCTATGTTTACATTGCATGGTTATTCAGCCTCTAGTGGCTGTTTTCCTGACAGCTGCTAGAGGCGCATCCGCGACGCTCAATGCGAAAATCGCATTGAGCATGCAGAACGTCCATAGGAAAGCATTGAGAAAACCTGTATAGAGATTTATTGTGGGCAACAGCTATGAAAGCAAGTCTACCTTGATTATATTGGAAACAAACAGAAAATTCACTGTTCAACCTGTTGGAGAGAGTTGCTGGTAATGGGATGAAATAACATCTGTCTTGAAGCACAGACTGCATGTTTGACAGAAAATAACTGGGCAAGTCATCTCCTAATAAGATGGGGTAGTTCAGCTTTGTCTATAGAATGCCACCTTAGCATTCTACCAGCGCCTCCTATCTTCCATATCATCCATGCAATTTTGAAGCTGGTTTAGGGAAGTCTGTAATGCCTCCACTGTATTTTCCAGGGTGGAGATGTGGTCATCATGGACTATAATGGTCAGTTCTGTGTAATGTATATACCACATTATCCCCTCCCTGAATTGCCACATGTGAGCCACAAAGTTGTGACGTAGATCCTCCAGGAGGCTCTTCAAGGCCTCCTTTGTCACAGATAAGCCTTGTGCACTCACAAGAGGAGGCGATAAAGGGCCCCCAACTTGGCACAAAATTATTATTTTAAAAGAATACTCCAATATGCTGTAGTTGTTATGGAGCTTGGAGTATTCCTTTAATTATATAAAAAAAAAAACCTTTACCCAGCATAATTAACTGTAAGATACACTGCACATTGCCCCAAATACGCGTGGATTCCTGGAGTACCCCAGTGATAAAAATGTAATTGGTGATTCAACTACCCCATTAGCAAAAGAGAAGAGGTATCATTCACCATCGAATCTGAATACTTAGGTTGATTAATTAATTTCTGTACATACCGTATTTCCCTGAAAATAAGGCCGGGTTATATATTAATTTCCCCCGCGAAAAACGCACTACAGCCTTTTTTCAGGAGAGGTCTTATTTCAGAAAAAAACGTGCTAGAAAGCAGGTCTATGTTTGGGGGAATTCCCCCGAATATAGACCAATTCACTAGGGTGTGGAATCCTGCAAATCTATGTTCAGGGAAACTCGCTAATAGAATACCGCAAATCTATGTTCTGGGAAACTTCCCCGAACATAGATTAGCTTACTCGCAAATAGAATTTTGCAAATCTATGTTGGGAGAAAATTCCCCGAACATAGATTAGCGAACGATTAGGGCTTATTTTCAGGGTAGGACTTATATCAGGAGCACTCCCCCGAAAAAAGCTAGGGCTTATTTTCGGGGAATGTCTTATTTTCAGGCAAACACGGTATTAGAGATTGTTTTCTCTAATAAACTGACAAGACCACCATCTCCCACTCTGCTGAATTTAAGATTTCTATCTATTTTGATCTAAATTTGTCAAGTCAGTTGTCAACTCATAACAAGTCACTGTTTAACAAACTAACCCTTATGTATTTGTTAACGCCCTTTGCCCAGGGCTGGGAATACGCCACTAGATTTACAGTTAGACAGTAGCTGCAGTACTGCCTGGAACAGGGTGTTCTCATCACCTTTGTTTGATACTATTCCCTTAGCTTGCTATTTGTTTGTAATTCTGATCTAAAGCACAGTAGCTCCACTTTAAATGGGGACTGATTTCAAGAGATGTTGCACCTTGCCAAGCTGTCAATCAATCTCCATCCTGATTGCTTTATGTTCCAGCAGCCAGCCAGCATAGAGCAGTGATTGGTGCACATGTTCCCTGTGTCGTAAAGCATCTCTGTAAGTTGCATTAGATTGTTTGAGAAACTATCAGCGCTGATGATCTCCAGGTGGACAGTGAGTAGCTGAAGAGCCAAGACCCTTTTGTAGCTGGATTAGGCTAGTAACCCTTTATTATAGATGATTTTGGACAAAAAGGGGGCCTGACCAACACTAGTGGTAAATAAATGCATTTATTTGTAATGCTGGAGTGTCCCTTTAATAAAAAAAAAAAATGGATTAAAATCTCACTTTGAACAATGTGATATATCTACATATATTTTGACAAGGAAATATATCCTTAGAGCAGATGCATAAAGTGCAGAGTTCTAAGCAAAGAGAAGCGGTCGATAAAATAAAATTTTATGAGTTGCAAATGTCTAGAAACAAATGAAGAATGAAGATAAAATACATGTTTAGGCACATGATTGAAAGTGACAATACCAGGTGAAAATTATTGACTGGAAAAATAAATAAATAAATAAATAAAAAAAACAAGAAACTATGGCACGAAAACCCCCACATTGTGCATGGGTCAGGTCTTCTATCAAACAGCCCTACGGGCCAAATCATACAGTGGGAAAAAGATGACTCCATATTTGGATTTAGATTTTTTTGTTGTTTACTCATTCTCTGTTTTGCTTTAAGCAGTTCGTCCCAGTGGTTATACTCTGCAAAATGTCCTGTGTTGTTTAATATAAGCAAAGCTTTTGAATTCTTCTTGTATAGTCTCGTAAATATCACTTTGACCTCGAGTTGCTGAGTCTGTGTAAACAACTCCGATACCAGGGTTATTTTAAGTAGCAGTTTATATTTCAGAGAAAAAGATTCCAAATTATTTCACTAAATAAATATTACAGTTCTTACTCTTTACAAGTCAAAGGTTATATTTGATTATTTTCCCCCAAAGTCTCTGATATAAATGTTTTGTTCTGTGAACCATCGCCTTGAATCAACAAGTGGCCAAATTAAAAGACATTGTTTCGCCATTATAAATGTTCAATTAAAAAAATGTTCATCTGTCTTTTTATTTATGTACATTTTGTCTTCCAAACATCACTTTAGACAAAAATCCAAGCACCGTATTTACTAACATTCAGTAGGCAGAGCTTAGCTTGAAAAACTTTTTCTTTCCCTGTAATTATAATTGAACTCTGTTCTTTAGCTCAAATTAAAAATAACTCATAATATATATTTATGGAATATTTTGCCAGGAAGGATACTTTGAAATTTATAGTTGTTTTCAAGCACATACTAATAAATACATTCTTAAACATACAGCAGTTACAATATAACTATAAATCCCATGTTACACATGCAATAGATGTAGAAAATACAAAAATTTATTGACTATGAGTGCAGTTGCGTTTTGATTTAATGTAGATGGGTGCAAACTTTTGAGTTTTTCTTGTAGCTTTAAGGAACGAGACATGGAGAAGTAGGAATGCGATGAGTTCCTGTAGCTTTAAGGAATACAATATAGATGTAGTTTGATGAGAAGAGTTCTTGTAGCTTTAAGGAACGAGATATTAAGATATTTTGATGAGAGAGTTCCTATAGCTTTAAGGAACACAATATGTAGAACGTTTGATGAGAGAGTTCCTGTAGCTTTAAGGAACACAATATGAAGATAGTTTGATGAGAGAGTGCCTGTAACTTTAAGAAACTCGAGTATAATTTAAGTGACTTATTTTTATATGGTTATTTTTATAATAAGTTCATAAGACGAGTCCATGTGAATAAGTTCATGTAGTAATTACCATAATAACTTCCAATTAATCTCAGTAGGGAGACACGTAGTGAAAACTGAAGTGCCAATGGAAGGTAATCATCCAACAATATAACTTGCGTTTATGATGATGTGCTTTACGAAGCAGAGAGAATCCAAAGATAATCCGAGGGGGCCGGGCCGCATGGAAGCAGACCATCATGGCTCTGAGCCCGAGCCCCGAAAACCGGCACTAAAAACGCATATGCACGGTCCCAACGCCAAATATCTATACGTACTGCAACAAAGGACACCCCAGCTCCATTCCAATACTAAACATGAGGCCAACAATGCACCAGGAGCACCGAAACTGACGCACCCAGCCTACCTGCCTCCACCAGCTGAGACACCAGCAGCAGATAAGCATGATCCACACACCCAAAAAGAAATGCGCACTAGAGGCATGGAGGGCAATGCGGGCTCTGGGCACGGCCCCGCTTCCCCCCTTGGCCGGTGGGGGTAATCCCAGCCACGTGGGGACGGCACACGCTGGGGCGGGAGCCTCCGACCTCAGCCCATGAATTAATAATAGGAACTTTTATAAAGTGCTTCATACTTAGACGCTCATCAGACACTAATGGTTATTACCATAGGCGTGCGCAGCCTATTGCATAAGGGTGTGCACCCTAAAGCACAAACACATACGCCCAGATACAGTAGCGTACATACCAGGGTCGCAGGGGTCGCGGCTGCGACGGGGCCGAGCCCACCAGGGGGCCTGGCCGCCCCTGCGACCCGGTATGTACCCACAGGGCCAGCCTCTTCCCCTGGGGGGTCCAGGAGCCGGCCACCTCAGGACCCCCCGAGGCTGGCCCTGCTGACCCCGGCGGGCGGGCGGGCTGGCTGTCTGGGTGGCCGGTGCGCGAGGGAGCACTCTCCCCTGTGTGCTTCCTCTTCAGCTCCCTCGTGCACCGTACTGATACCGGAGCCGGAAGATGACGTCATCTTCCGGCGCCGGCATCCCTATGCAGCGCGCGAGGGAGCTGAAGAGGAAGCACACAGGGGAGAGTGCTCCCTCTCGCACCGGACACCCAGACAGACAGCCAGCCAGCCCGCCCGGGTCAGCAGCACCTCTGGACCCCAGGGAATCCCCCCAGCTCTCCAAAAGGTAAGGAGGCTGGGGGGATTAAATTAAAAAAAAAAAGTGTGTTTGTGTGTGTTAGTGTGTGTGTGTGTTAGTGTGTTTGTGTGTGTGTGTGTGTGTGTGTAGTGTGTGTGTGTTAGTGTTTGTGTGTTAGTGTTTGTGTGTGTTAGTGTGTGTGTGTGTGTGTGTGTGTGTTAGTGTGTAGTGTGTTGTGTGTGTGTGTAGTGTGTGTGTAGTGTGTGTTGTGTGTTAGTGTGTGTGTGTGTTAGTGTTTGTGTGTATGTTAGTGTTTGTGTGTATGTGTTAGTGTGTGTTTGTGTTAGTATTTGTGTGTGTGTGTTAGTGTGTGTGTCAGTGAGTGTGTCTGTTATTGGGTGTGTGTCTGCTAGTGAGTGTGTTACTGTGTGTGTCTGTTAGTGAGTGTGTGTTTGTCAGTGAAAGTGTATGTTTTGTAAGTGAGTGTGTATGTATGTCTGTCACTGAGTGTGTCTCTGTCAGTAAATGTGTGTGTCTGTTAGCTAGTGTGTATGCGTCTGTTCGTGAGAGTGTGTGTGTGTCTTCAGCATTTACCTTTCTCCAGCGTCGGACTCCCTTGGCGCTGGGGATCCCTCCGCCTCTCAGCTCCGATACCGATATTTGCTATCCAACACCATAATTCTCTCAACATGTACTAAGCACTTAGGCAGGAGGGCAAATGCAATCCAAGCTTAAAATATGACTGCAAACTTTATTTGATTTTCTAAATTAAGCTTCAAGCATGCAGATAATCCGTATTATTAGTACCATTAATTTTAAGCAACATAAGTTCACAAACCTTGTTATTATAAGCATTACAGTTATGTGTAAGTAAATTACCATTAATCAAACCAGACTAAGTTTTTCTGTGCAGTGCACTATGCCGACATTGGTTAAACGCGACTGATCTAATGATGCCTATATTTGTAGCCTTTTATGCCTCTGCGCAGGCAACCATACGCATTATATGCACCAAGATACAAAAAAGACTTCAGGCTTAATGGGTGTTACCACCCCTTAGGTCTTCTGTCTTTAAGAGTGCAGCGCTGAGTATTGTATGAGAGCACAGTGAGTTACCTGTGATTCAAAGACAATTATCCTTTATATTCTCCAATGTAATGTACATACAAAAGAAAACAGAAATATATACAGATAATTGTGCAGTATGTTAGGTGTTTTAGTAAAGACTTGAGTGAGTAACATATATATCTACACTCACATTTTTTAGAGCCTTTTCAAGTGAATTAGGCTCTAAACTTCCGTGTATCTGTGTCTTTAAGGGTAGATCACACGACCCCTCTCTCCATGGTAGAGTATGTATTTTCCTCTCCACAGCGTATATAGAAGACACAGAATTATCCAGGTAGACCGATAGTCTCAGGGATAGACTCTATATCCAGTAGGCTATCGGAATACCTGGACAAATGTTTACAACATTTGGTTCAAAAAACTCCAAACTACCTCAAAGATAGATTAAACATCATACAAACACTACAACATATTCAATGGGAAACCAACTACATCTTAGTAACGGCTGATGTTAGCTCCCTTTACACGATTATCTCACACATGAAAGGGTTAGAAGCAGTAGAGTTCTTTCTAAAAAAGGATAATACTTACCCTGAAGAACAAATAAGTTTTATTATGGAAGGAATAGATCTCATCCTTCATAACAACTATTTTTGGTTCAATAACGAATTCTTTTTACAAAAAGTCGGCACCACTATGGGGACAAGGTTCGCTCCAAGCTATGCTAATCTATTCAAGGCCCATTGGGAAACACAATTTATAGACAATAATAATCTAGAGTGGAGAGCGAACCTTGTCTCCTACAAGCGATACATAGACGATTTTTTTTTTAATTTGGAATGGTTCAGTGGATCTTTTAAAAACATTTTTGAACTTCTTAAATACAAATAATTGGGGAGTGACATTAACTACAGAATACAGTAAAGACAGTGTAAATTTTTTAGATCTAACTATTTTTATAGAAGACAACAGTATTAAAACTAAAACCTTTTTTAAACCGGTAGATGTAAACAATTACATCTACCTAAACAGTTGCCATTTTTCCCCTTGGCTAAAAAATATACCTAAAGCACAGCTTATGAGGGTCCGTAGAAACTGCACTGACCAAAGCACTTTTGAGGTTCAGGCCATTAAAATCAAACAAGACTTCATGGAAAAAGGGTACAAAGAAACCTCTCTTATAAATACCATTGAGGAAGTTAAGACCATGGAAAGATCCTCATTACTGAAATACAAACCTAAAAATAATAATGAAAACATAAACTTACCATTCATCTGTAATTTCAACCAAGAAAGCCATAAAATCAAACAAATAATAAATAAACATTGGCCTATGCTAAGGAACGATCCTATGCTACATTCCATATTACCAGAGAGACCGAAATTAATATATAGAGGAGCCCCCAATCTAAAACAAAAACTAACACACAACCATATAAAAGAAAATACATCTACCCCCTTCTTCCAGAAAGAAGGTTTTTTCGGCTGTGGACAGTGTCTAGCCTGCAGAAACACAAAAAGTACAAAAAGGCACATTACAGAATTCTATGACCCAAAAGGGGAAAAGAAATATAAAATACGTCAAATGATTACGTGTTTTTCTAAGAGGGTTGTATACATTTTAAAGTGTCCTTGCAATTTGTTCTATGTAGGCAGAACAAAACGTCCCTTACAAACACGAATAAATGAACACATTAGAAATATCAGAAAAGGGTACGATAAACACAGTGTTTCAGAACACTTTAGTTTAATGCATAATAAAGACCCCCAATTTCTAGAATTCATGGCCATCCAGAAAATTACACTCAACTGGAGAGGGGAAGATGAAATTAGAAAATTGGGAAGAATCGAAACAAAATGGATTTTCAATCTTAACACTCTAGCACCTATGGGTTTAAATGCTGATTTTGAGTTATGTCACTTTTTATAAAACATATAAACCACAAATATTGCTTTTTACTGGGTCTGCTATCTTGCATGTTCTTATATATGAGCCATCACTGCTTTAAACAATGTAAAAGCAAGTGTACTCATTTCATGTAAATCTTATATATTTTTAGCAATGAGAAAAAATAGCAGTTGAAATCAGTGGTAAAATATGTTTATATAAATAGAGTTTCACCACAATGCACCTTTTAAACACAAGTCACTTTCCATTCTTTTTTATTGTGTTCAAGATCTGCATGCTTTGCACATAAGGGATACTGTTAACTGTATAAAAAATTAATACGTTCAAATACATTTGCCTGTTTATACACAATGTGTAAAAAGTACAGCACACAATAATTTTTAATTATGTATGTCTCTTTATTTTTATTTTAAACTGTATATGAGCCTAAGGAGGCTCTAATGTGGACTGATTAAACCTCCCATTGTGGACTATATTCCCCGTGAAAGACCGGACGAAAACTGGAAGTGCCGCGCTGAGCGCAAAACACTATGGATCCTGTAGTGCCGAAAACCCAGAAGTGACGCGACGGCTTTTCAGCCGCGTCATGTGACACAAGGAACCTACACAATTGGAGGATGACAATTTCGGCGGGATTTTGAACGCTCAAAACAGAGGACACCCAGAGGAAACCCACAAGCTGACTGAGGAAGCCGTTTTTACCGGCAAAACGCGTTTTGGCTCTTAAAGTGGACTCACTATTTTTTCTTAGACCACCAATATTTGCAATATTTTGTTCTTATTCATTTTTTATTTTCTAGTAATACTCTTTTATTGAATTTATATATTCTGAAATAAATTCCCTTATTTTATACAATCCACTGTATCCAGCACCAGTGATTCCAGGGAAGGGGTAGTGTCACCCCACAAATTGACACTAGGCCTATACACTTAGAGCCAGTTACCAAAAGGCTCTAAACAAGGTGAGCACTTTTATTATTTAAATATATAAGAAATATTACAAAAGATGCTACACTTAGTTCGATAATTCTGTGTCTTCTATATACGCTGTGGAGAGGAAAATACATACTCTACCGTGGAGAGAGGGGTCGTGTGATCTACCCTTAAAGACACAGATACACGGAAGTTTAGAGCCTAATTCACTTGAAAAGGCTCTAAAAAATGTGAGTGTAGATATATATGTTACTCACTCAAGTCTTTACTACAACACCTAACATACTGCACAATTATCTCTATATATTTCTGTTTTCTTTTGTATGTACATTACATTGGAGAATATAAAGGATAATTGTCTTTGAATCACAGGTAACTCACTGTGCTCTCATACAATACTCAGCGCTGCACTCTTAAAGACAGAAGACCTAAGGGGTGGTAACACCCATTAAGCCTGAAGTCTTTTTTGTATCTTGGTGACTATTTTTGTTTAGTGGGCTTTGAGGAGTACCCATAGAGTGTATATAGCAGCTAAAATCAACTATCTATATCTACTAATTAGCGCCATATATTCCACACCTATTGTAAATATATCTAAATTTGTTGCATACGCATTATATGTCTATTATCTGATTTATTATGCCTCTGCGAAGGCAACAGTGCATCAATATTTCGCATATGATCTATGTCTGCTACCATTTAACCCCTTAAAACCGGAGGGCGTGCTCTTACGCCCTATTCTAAGCGGCTCTAAACGCCGCAGGGCGTAATAGTACGCCCTCCGGTTTTTCTTACTTACCCGGTCACCGGCGTTTGGGGAGACTCACCTGGGATCCCAGGGAGTCCCCCACAGTGGATCCTGCCTCCTCCGGCCCCCCCCCCGGCCATGTGAGAGTGAGGTCCTTGCGAGGACCTCACAATCACATGGCCAGGTTAGCTGTATTGCCAGCAGGGGGACTGCCTGTAATGACAGTTAGTCCCCCTGCTGGGTGGAAATGAAATAAAATAAAGTTAAAATCAGTGTAAAAAAAAAAAATATATATATATACTTAGATCATATATATATATATATATTGATATATATGATCTAAGTATATATATACACATATACATGCACACACATACACTGTCTAGGTGTATTTTACTATTAAAAAATATATATATATATATATATATTAATATCAAATTACACAAAGACTGATACTGATTAAATATATATATATAATTATTGTTATTTCTTATATATATATTTATATCAAAATACACGTAGAACGAAATAATATATATATCTATATACATAAATATATACGTATATATCACTATATATATACCTATATGTAATAAAAATATTTAAAAAAAATTATATATATATATATATATATACTTATATATACACATACGTATATATATATACATATATTAATTCTACATATATATTTATGTAATATTTTTACATAATTAGGTATTTTAATTAATTACAATTAGCGGGACCTGCCTGACAACCCATGCCGAAAGTAAAGGGAATGTAATTTGCTAGCACTATATTTAACCCTATAACTTTCCAAGACACCATAAAACCTGTACATGGGGGGTACTGGTCTACTCGGGAGACTTCGCTGAACACAAATATATCAAAACACTAAAATGTATTACAACAATGATATCGCCAGTAAAAGTGACGTTTTTTTCATTTTTCACACACAAAGCACTTACACGGACGATATTATTGCTGTGATACTTTTTACTGTTTGAAACACAAATATTTGTGTTCAGTGAAGTCTTCCGAGTACAACAGTACCCCTCATGTACAGGTTTTATGGTGTTTTCAAAAGTTACAGCGTCAGATATAAGGCTTGTGTTTCATTTTTTTCACATTAAAATTTGTCAGATTGGTTACGTTGCCTTTGAGACCCTATGGTAGCCCAAGAATGAAAATTACCCCTATGATGGCATACCATTTGCAATAGTAGACAACCCAAGGTATTGCAAATGGGGTATGTCCAGTCTTTTTTAGTAGCCACTTAGTCACAAACACTGGCCAAAATTGGCGCTTTTTTGCATTTTTCACACACAAACAAATATTAACGCTAACTTTGGCCAGTGTTTGTGACCAAAAAAAGACTGGACGTACCCCATTTGCAATACCTTGGGTTGTCTACTATTGCAAATGGTATGCCAGTTGGGCTACTATACAGTCTCAAAGGCAACGTAACCAATCTGGCGAATTTCAATTTCAAATGTAACGTGCTATATTTGACCCTGTAATGTCCCAAAACACCATAAAACCTATACATAGGGGGTACTGTTTTACATGTGAGACTTTGCTGAATACAAATATGTGTATTTTATTGCAGTAAAAGCAAACAGTATTATGACATTGACAGTTAAAATGTCATGTAGAACTAAATAAATAACATTTCTTATTTTCTCCCATTTTTTTCATATTAAATTATGTTTCATAGCTAAATATTTGATATTAAATGAAAGTCCTGTTTCCCCTGAATAAAATGATATATAATAAGGGTGGGTGCATTTAATATAAAAGAGGTGAATTACGGTTGGACAGACATGTAGCGCAAATGCCAGGTTTTGTTTACGTTTTGTTTTGTTCACAACGTGTACATTTGTCTCAGTCCTTAAGGGGTTAATGTGCAAAATAAAAACAATTTGAAATCAAAGATAATCCGAGTCAATTGGAAGAAGAATGGAGATCAGCGGTTACAACAATCCAGGTTCGGTACACATAATTCGTAGAAAGAGAGAGCTTGATTGTAGCCAGTCTGATTGATCAGGGAAGCTTCAAAATAATCAAGCACTTTGAATCTGGCGCGGTTCTAAGTAGCGTGAGGAAGCCACGTCAGAGGTGGCGTGTCAATAGTCTGTGAACCCGGAAGTGTCGGATTGCAGCAAAGCCGCTAGTTAAGTTCTGACAATATGCCTGGATCTGAGAGTTGGCCAATATAGATTTTAATCCATGACAATGATAGTTACATGAGAAAACAAAGCAATATTGCGAATTGTGGGGAGATCGATACAGGTTTTATTTTCGTACAAACACTGCGTTTGGGATAATATTTAGAGCAAATCTTTTTGATATTTACACAGGATGAGAGATTAGAATTTAATCACAGATTGAGATATTTATAGGAGGTAACTGTGGCCAGGTTATAATTACACATTGTTACAATGCTTAAAGGAATATTCCAGGTGCCATGACCACTTTATGTTCGGGTGCATGGAGTCTGTGTGTGCATCGGAGAGCTGCAGCAGACAAATGTTGCAATTCTATTTCAGAGCAGACCAGGAACCTAATGAGACCCAAGTGAAAGATCATACTGTTGCCAAATGGGTTGCCCCATTATCTGGAAACAGGGCCAAGGTTCTCCTGGCATCATAACCCCAACAGCAGACTTGATTCCCTGTAATGGCGCATAGGTTTACCCTATAATCTGGGCACCGCTTGGCAACAACTGTCCTCAATTGTCCAGTGGCAACATCTGGCTTTTGAAGAAGTCATAAAGCAATCTTGACAGCCAGTCATAACTTGGTCACTCTCAGCCAATGAATGCAGCTTTAAGCATAGAATTATGTACATAGTTGACATTAGTAAAAACATTGTATCATACAGGCTCCAGGCACCATGACCACTTCAGTAACTTTAGTAACCTTTTAGTTCATGTTTTTCTATCCAATAAGTTGCCACTGAAATGGTAGTTTTCCTAAAACCAGTGCAATAATACATATTAACCAGTTAGTGGATAAGCTAACTAAATAATGAATAATATTTTTTGGTATTCACCATATGTCTGTATAGTACAGCAATGACTGATATAGTGGGGCTGTAGGCAAAACTAAACCAAATATAAGACAAAAATAAATATAAATAAGCTGAAAAAAGTATTTAGAAAGGGAACCAAACTTGTACATTATGGACCAAACAACTTGACACATCCAACATATGTCCAGCGTATGACGTTATTACGTATGTAACATCATCGCACGAATAATGCTCGCAATACAGTTGCACAATAGATGTGCGTAACATCATCGTGTAATCAATGTATGCGATGTCAGTGCGCAATAGGAGACTGGAGATCTGGGCAATAAATGTGCCTATAACGCATTGCGGTGCCTGGACTTTTTTTCTTCAATTGGTAACTATATTCTGCTGGGGTGGTCCTGGCCCATTGTCTAGTTAAGCACCCATTTGACTTAATGTGGATTGAATGCAATTTCTACTACTTCTTTGTGGGACTTCAGGATAGTGTCCTAAGAGATACTCGGTTGTGTTACTATTACTTTTTCCAGT